CGCTCCGGGAGGAGATCAGTTTATGCGCGCAAAATAAGCGTCTGTCTCCTGTCAAATGAAGTCGATGAAGCTATTAACCGGAAGGGAGAGAAAACAAAAACGAAGAAAAACGTGATTAGGTCAATGAACCCCACCCTGAAGGATGTGCGCCGTTTCTTGCCACTCTGGTGGCTGTCCTCACCGAATGAAATCCAAACAGAATCTAGTAAAGATACACGAATGGGAAATGGAAAAAGCCGACCGCGGCATGAATAGACAGACCATGGCCAAAGACGTCCCCCAGATATCCACCTCATTCCCGCTGAGCACGGCCCGGCGGCAGAGGCCCGCTTCGTCGATCAGACGTGCTCTTCGCCCGGTCCGGAAGTCGTGCCCCCCGTTAAACTGCAGGTTCTTGTTCTTGGGGGAGCATGGTTCCGAGGAGTCGGGACGATGCCGCCCCAAGGTCTAGTCCCCGTACTCGGTCTGCGCTCCGTGAACGGTGCTCAGCGATTGGTCGCTCAAGCTCGTTCCAACGCCTGGCAGTCCCAAATGCACGTTGTCGCCAAGCTACCATGCCGGCGGTTTCCGCATGATCTTCTCGAGCAAGGGTCTGCCCCGGCCAGCAAAACCCCTCTCCGTGGAGTGATGGGCGTATGTGAGCGCCGATGAGGCTGAGCTCCGTTTCTGACGGATTTTCGATGTGATATGTGATGCCCTCCCTTTTCCGGGCCTTCTCGGTGTCGACTAGCACCGGGTCTGATGTGCGAGATCTTGCAGTCTAAGCGGTGACTGTCGGCCTCCAAGGGCTATAGCCCCACCTCGATCGGTCGAAGCGGTGTTGCTTCCGTTCGGATGGAGCCACAAACGGAGCGAGCTTGATGTTGGCTGGATAGAACAACATTTGGGCGGGATTGAATTCTACCGCTGGGGGTTTTTTGTTGAGGAAGACCGCCGTATCTATTTGCATCAGGAAATCCGAAAGGGCAGGGCAAGGGTTCATCAGCAAGACATGATCCTCGAAGCAGATCTCTCGTCGCCCTTCGTTCACATGCTCCGTCACCCCTCTGTTCAATCGCCACAGCGCCACCACAACCACCCCCCTTTTTTTCTCTCTTTTGTTTCCAAGGGCGTAGACTACACCCGACAAAGGAGCAGGAGGGACATGTCAGATCCCGCACCCGCAGATGGTCGATGTTTCTTGAGTGAGCTTGCCTCCCACCACACACGCACGCTTGCCCTGATCTGACCTTCCAAAGGTGGATCGTCGAGGTCAAGTGGCGATGATGCGATGGGCTGCAGAGCTACCTATCAAGCCCCGCATGGTCTTGAAACCCAAAGGGGAGCATGGGTTGTGCCGTTTGGCAGCCGCATGAACCCGGGCGATCACTGACCCCATACATTCAAGCGAGGAACTCACGCCGGCTCCGTCGGCAAGCACCGTCCTCACGGAGCTGGAGTCTTTTTCTCTCTTCTTCTTTTTTTTCTCTCTCTCTCTCCGTCTCTCCGTTCAAATGGAAGCAATCACGATGGCTTTACCTGAGCTTGTAGTCTCCTGTGCATCTGACTTTTCAGTCTTGAGAAGCAGTTGGCTTGTACGAACCACCAGTTCTGTTTTTGATCATTAGCTTGTGACTCGACGCAGAAAAGCGAAAACAGATACGTACCGTCATACACCAGCCTGTAGCTCACGGGCGGGTCATCATTGACGCTGACAAGCAGCGGCGCGCGCCAGTGATCCGTGGTCTCGGAGACACGGAAACGCACGCCCACATGCTTGTGTGGATCGGCCCAAAGGATCCCCGCCTGTGCCCCGCCGTCAACCCCCGGCATCCACTCACTGCCCCCTGCCGCGGCCGAACCGAGCCAGTCGCGCCACACCCGGATGACGCCATCACTGATGTTGATGTGGCTGGAGAAGATCCCGTGCCTAGGCCCGAGCTTCACCAGGTTCGTCACCGTGCACAGCTGTGTGAACAGCTCGGCCTCGTCCAGGTTGACGTCTAGCGACGGCGGTTCAGGGGTCTCCTCCTCAACCGTCTCCGAGTTAGTCGGCGCAGCGGCATTACCACTGGCTACGTCTTGCTGCTGCAGTTGCTGCAAAGCTGCCCTCGCGCGTCGCCGGCGGCCGACCCGGCCGCCCTCCTCCAACGGCAAGGGGCGGAAGTGGGAATAGAGCTGCCTCAGCTGCCAGAGGCTGTGCTCTGATCCCTCTTCCGGCACCTCTTCCTCGGCTAGTCCAGCTTCGACGGCAGGGCAGCTGATACTACGGCTGCCGTCGAGCGGACCAGTCCCGAGGAACTTGCAGTGGAGGTAGGGCGTTGAGAGCTTCGCGCTCGGGTGGTAACACTCGAGGATCAGCTCATTGCTGGCCGAGACGACGCTGGCGAGACGATTGGACAGCAGACGTAGCACAATGGCATGGAAGCGCCGGCTAACAGCGGAGAGAGGAAGAAGGGCCTCGGCAGGGAAGTCAGAGAGGACCGAGAGGAGGATCTGTTGGTCAAGATTTATCCTGTGTCAGGGCCTCGCAAGTAAAAGGGCTAACGTGTTCTTCAGCGCCAACTCTACTCACCTCGTTCGGCAAAGATTCTAATGTGGCAGGATCGGAGGCCATCTTTCTCTGTCTTGAAAAAGACTCGGACAAGATGGGTGCGCAACGATAAAGTACCGGTTCCAAGTAAACAAAGGGCAACAATCTCAAAGATCGGTACCAGCAGGTGTCCTTAAAGGGAAAAGACACGAGAAACAGCGGCAGCAGGAGTAGCCTCGGCGGGATCTCTGAGCTTTTATAGTAGCGCACGACGGCAGGCTGCCAAGCCTGCCCGATCCAAACGCCAGGGTTGGTTGATGCTGACACAAAAGGTGACCGCTACAGCTGGTACTTGGCCTCAAGGCGGGATAAGGAACGCGAGGTAGGTAGCTTCTCGTATGAGGGTACGTCCGGTCGCGTTGGGCCCTCGGGCTCAGCCGGGAATAGAATGGCAGCGATGGCGTGTCGGTCACGGCAGAACCCACACGGCGGCAAGGGCGGGTGGGGACGCCGCGGTCATGTCCCGGGGAGGGATCTCTAGCCGGGATGGAACCTTCGGGATGAAGCTTTTTTCTTCTTTTTTTTTTTCGATTTGTTGGGACCGCGGTCTCGATTGGTCGACGAGCAGCCTCCGATGGCGCAGTGAGGGACGCCTTGGGTTTCGCGATGGGAGCTGGACGTTGCGTTATCGAGGCACGACGATGAGTTCGGCCGGCCAAGGAGGCTCAACCCAGCTGCCAGCAAAGCGACCCCACCATGCCCAAGCTCCCGATTCGGACAGGTCGGCTCAGCTCAAGCCTTGTCATGCGCCGCGTGATGGCTTGGACTGACTTTGGAAGGGTGCCCTGCCAGACGGGAACTGCGTGTTGGATGAGGATAGGTTGGAGCGAGTGACGGCCGTCTGTTATTCGCTGTTGTCCGAGCGACATTAATGGCCCTGGCTTGACCGACTTGACATTCCATGATGGAATGTTGATTGATTGATTGCCGTTCCCTGTGTTGTTCCACCCACCTGCTCGCCCCACCCATACAAGCCTCGCCTGGCAGTCGCCAGACCCCTGCGCCGCTGAAAATATCGGCTGCATCCTGGCATCCATCACGAGCAGCCCCTGGCGGCCTCGCCGGGTTCCCTTGTGTCCGTTTATTCGCTCCAGTCTCGTGCAGCAACATGAGCGCGCCCACACCGCACCGCTCTGCAGGCCGCCCAGGGACGCTGCTGCCGGATACGGCCTTGTCGCTAGGCGATCGACATCAGCAGCCTTTGACCAAGCACCAACACCGTTTTCCTGTTGGCCCAATGTTGCAGGTCCCAGCTGAACACTTGACGCCGGTCTTCGCCTATTCCAGCCGAGGTTGAAAGCCTCGAAGCATTTCGGCGTGCGAGAGCTATCCCTTTGGGCTGCCAGGTCCGAGATCAGCCAATTCTGTTCTTCTGGTGATGTAGCCGGCACGTCCTTTCATCCCTGCCTGCATCCCTGGCAGGGCGCAGTGTGCCCTTGGCTTTGCAAGTGGTGTGATTTAACATACCGAACCACGCCCGATATCACACGTCTTTGTTGGGAGCGGCCTTCCTTATCGCCGCCCATCTTCGGGATCCCCCGACTGAGCCATTTCAGGATCCAACTCGGCGCTACTCTTAAATATGTGCCCTTGCATAAAGAAGTTTCGTATCCTCTGTCCATCAAGGCGGTGGAGTGTCCCGCGTCGCCCCAGCACGTATCTCCGGCCTTCGCTGCCCGGGGCTTGGGCCGCGACTCGCGCCCACCGAGCTTTGACGGCTCTTCGTTGGACGGTTCCGAAGCAAACCAATCCGCTGCTCGAGGATACACCGCCGCCGCTTCGGGGCTGCCTTGCGGTCTTCGCTCGGGAGAGAACATGGACTTCCCCAATCACAAGAATCTCAGGAGATCCGGCCAATCATGATCATTGGCGCCTCTGGGAGGCAGCTTTCATGCCAGCACTAGATACCTACTCTCCTACCTCTACCTAGGTACCTGCCTAGGCACGCGCTTACTGCGGCTTCGTGCTACCAACGAGTCTCGGCGAGCGGCATTCCATTGGACATGAGCATCGCGGAGGTGCTGCTCCCTCACACCTGCTCGATGCATTGTCCTGCGGGCATCTCCGATACGATTCCAGTCTTGACTGCGAGCTCGGGGAGGTTCGCCCTCTGGCAAGAGCTTTTGACTGTGGATAGTCACGGTTCATCAATCCCAAGCGATCGACAGCCCCTCGAGGAATCTGAAGGTCCTGCTGATACAGAACTGTTTTGGTCAACATAGGGAAGCCTTGTAGCCATCGATCGCCCGCTACAGCGAGATGTACCGGTGCGATAACGACAATCTCAATGGCGATTAAACACTCTCTGAGATACCTTCATACTTCCTGCGATGCCAATTAGGTCGCGGTTTCGCTGTTTTGGACAATCACGCTGGCTAACGGAACAGCTGCGAACGTTTTCACGCCGCCAACGGTCCTTTCGCGGCAGACCCGCCAATAATGCTTGCTTGCAACCGCTCCACAGAGTTCATGTCACATGTGTCAATCATCCAATGAACTGGTGGGCTCGCGGGACCGCGGCGCAAGCTGAGGTTATGGCGTTCACTTTCGCCGTTTCACGCCACGTGGAACGCGGATATCCGCATTGCCACCCGGCATGACCACTATCGGGTTTGGAGGTACCAAGCTCGTCATATGCAAACACGTAAAGAAACTCTCCGTATGTCACGGGTGGGAGACTCATACCGATGCGTCGTCGTTGAGGGTAGGTTTCACAGCCTTCACCCCCGTTGTCGCATGAACCATGCCAAACTTTATGGTATACTACGCTCAAGACATCAAGGCATGACAGGTATCTATTAATTTATGGGTATGCAGAAATTCAACCGGCAAACCTGTGATCGGGACTGGTCTAATAGGGACTCACGCCCACCACGAAAAAAATCGCAGTTTTACAGGAGGTTCCAAAGCTCAAGTGAATTTGTTAGTGCCCTAAGCTTTCCTATTTTTATTTCATTTTTTTTGTAGTTATTCCTATTGTTATTCCTATTCCTATCCTATTTTTATTCGCTTTTTTTTTTCTTTTCTTTTTTTTTTCCGTCCCTATTCCTCTTCCCGAGGCGTGGGACGCTGCACGGCCCCGCGTCGAGAGCACGCCCCGTCTTACCCGCGCCCCGTGCGCTACTGCCGGCAAGGCCGTCGTCAGGATATAATGCGATGATGGCCGTGCTAGAGAAGCAGCATACTTCTTCCATGATGAGTGGCGGGTCCGCTCGCGGTCCACGGGCGGCCCGGGCCCGGACTTTGTTTGGCCAAGACACGGACATCCGCATTCTGTACACCTCAAGCTCGTGACTTTTCCTTGTTTTTTTTGTCCACGAAGTTGGCAAATAGGCAAACGTAGGTATACCCGTGCTTGATTCTAGCTGACGAAGACGCCGATCATATTAGTTCCATTCGAAGCACGCTGCCGGCAAATATGGAGCGACGAAGCGTTCCGCGTCACGACATTGAAACGGGGTCGAGACAAATGCCGTCGACGTCAGGGATTCAATACCAGCACCCATTCAGCCGCGGGATCCGGAACGCTGGAACTGAGAGCACACCGATAACGGAGTGAGCGCAGATGGCTTCCACCTAATGACACACGGGCGGGCACCTAGACAGCAATCAACAACCTCCTCCGCCAATGGCCTGGCGCGGATTTCCAAACTCAATACCATGGTAAAAAGGAGGGGCACTAAAAGTGTCGGGTGGGCCCGACTGTGTGAGCCAGCCGGTCGGGCGTGTTCCAGGCGCAAAGCAGCCAAACAGTCACTCCAAAGTGCCAAAGCGTTGAGTTTCCGAGTGATGGTAGCTGCTCTCTCGCCTCGCATCCGCCACTTCGAGCTCACCGACTGAGGAAGTGGCAAGCGCAGTGCCCTGTGGACCTTCCTCAACCCGCGCCGCGCCGAAATCAAAACCGCCCGCCGGCCCCTCACTCCGCTTCCCGCTATTTCCTGAATCTTCCAAGCCCGAGACACAAAACAGCCTCTCCCATAACTCTGTTACCACGCGCCGATAACGCCTCAAAGACAACTCCGAGGCGAGCGAGGGAACAAGAAAGAAACAACCCGACGCCCAGCGACCGTCTAAACCATGGCTCCAGGTATAGATGAAAAGGTCGCGGGCGCGCCCAAGGGTACCGCCACCCAAGATTTTGTTGGTATGTCAGCGATAGAAGCGTTGCCTCCACCCGATACCCTTTTGCTCCCATTAACACTTGACTGCCCCGCAGATCCCGGAATCGTCCCGATCCCCAAGATTTCTGGCGACTGGACCGTCGACAAAGTGTTGGCCACGGTCGAAGCCGATAAGCCAGAGGAGGGCTCCGACTCGCCACTACCATACTTCCACCTGCTGGAGCGTCTCAAGACTACCAAGCGAGAGGGATGGCGCAGGTTCAAAATCGACAGGTACTCAACCCTCGAGTGCAAATGCTAGCGAGATCTACACCAGCGCTTTGGTTGCTAACCCCATCCAACGTTATGGAAAATAGAGGCGAGTCCATCGCGGACCACATGTATCGCATGGCCATGATGTCGATGCTCGCGCCACCGGCCCTCGCCCCGCGCCTTGACCTGAATAAGTGCATGAAGATGTGCCTTATCCACGACATGGCCGAGTCGCTCGTTGGCGATATCACCCCGGTTGACGGCGTCCCGAAACCCGAGAAGGCACGCCGCGAAGCCTCCACCATGGACTACATCACGTCGACACTCCTGGGAAAGACGTACGGCAGCAGCAGTGGCGGTGCAACGGCTGACGGCAGCGCCACGGGTCCTCTGGGCAAGCTCGTCGGCGAGGACATCCGGGCAATCTGGCAGGAGTACGAGGACTCGAAGACTCTGGAGAGTAAATACGTCCACGACATCGACAAGATGGAGCTCCTGTGCCAGATGGTGGAGTACGAGAAGCGCTGCGAGGGAAAGTTGGACTTGGGCGAGTTCGCCTACGTGGCTAGCCGCATGGAGCTGCCCGAGACGATCGCGTGGGGCCAGGAGGTGCTCCGCGAGCGCGAGGCCTTCTGGGCCAGCAAAGCCGGCGGTGGGAAGCATCTGCGCGGCGAGAGCAAAGTCGCCGGCGGTGTGGAGGCGACCAAGGTAGCCATGCAGGATGCCTACTACACAAAGGAGAACTAGGAGGTTGAAATTACCCCACACTTTGTCGCGGCATTTCTACAGGGGCATTATCGGCGTCGGAATCAAGGGGGAAAGTCCGTCATGCATAATACGGTGGGGAGGGATCCCGTCCTGGCTGGTTTGCAGATACCCATATAACGTTAGAAGTTTAGACACAGAATAGCATCATTGATGGCTCCTGCGCATTCTCTCGGCGAAGCCACTTCTCAAGAAATGACCTGTGGCGTTGTGATTTGTCATACCCGATAAAGTTGAGGGTTGCATTCAACGGTTTTTTGGTTCCCGGCAACGCCTACCACAATGTCCTTGTCTGGTAGGTTTGCGGTCCAGGGTTATGCATGTTTACCAATAAACACCCGAAAGCTCGAGGTCTGTTCTGCCCGGCAACGCCCCGCACTGCACTTGGGATCGAAGCGGGTCGCTGCGCCACGCCAAGGACAAAGACTGGGTCCGACCCCAACCACCAGCCGCCAGAGGCAGGCACTGGCAGAACAAAAGTTTAAGGGTCCTGTGAGTGGCTTTCTCGGTGGCGGGACTCTGCCTGCCCCATCAACGTTCTTCCAGAATCACGCTCCATGCGCGCATCATCAATGCAACGCCGTCATTGATCGCATCGCAACCCGTCGCGCTGGGCTGCTGTCTCTTTCCCAACAAGCCCGGCTTAGTTATCAACACCACGGCTGCTGCCCGTCGGCACGTGGCGGTCTCGGCTAGGCTGACTGCGAACGAGGCCCGGCCAGCTCTTGGGCTCTGACGTAGGCCACTCGAGAGCCAGTGCATCTCGTACATGTAAGCACGCCCTGCTCTGATTTCTCCGCCTCGGTCTGGCCCCAGCGCGCGCGTAACCAGCGAGGCCGCTTCTTTTGCTCCAGCCTCAAAACCCAACCACACCCCCTCGCTCGGCGCCAACCTTGGCCAAACCGTACCATCTCCTGGGCCCGACGCCCGACCCGTTGTTACCGCCTCGGGGGCCTCTGGGTGCCCGGCAAAGTCACGATTCACCAGACTCACTGGCGCAGAGCTTACTCTGACTTTCCGCAGCGTGCCAACGGGGTCTTCCCATGGGGAATCAAAAGCTAAAAGCCAGCCCAGCTCACCACATCAGATCCAACGGAGAAACATTGACGAAGGTGTAGAAATACGCGCCCCCGGCCACTCGTTTCCTCGACCAGGGCCCATCCAATCCTTCACCGCTATTCATTTCTCGTCCTAGCATCGAGGCATAGCAATCCGATCTCCTGCTTTACAGATTGGTTTCCATCGCAAGCAAGCCGATACAGCCGACTCTTATCCGCCATCGACCTTGTTTCAAACATCTGCTCGGCGCTAAGTCAAAGCCGCCAGGGTGTTCTAGCTTGGGAAAGAAACACGCTTGGCATCACCGGCGTCGCCACTCGTGCACACCGGCGCTCCTCACGGCTCGCGCGCCCTAGCTGTGCAAGATAGCACTAGGAGCCCCGCAAGAACAAAGCACCAACATCAACAACCAAAGTCGCTGCTGCGGCAACACATAACAGCCATGACCTTCCGCCAGTTCCACATGCCGGGTGGTTATCAGTTCGACAGCCCCCAGCAGTCGGGTCCTGCTCTGAGCGCTGGCATATTTCGCACCCCAGCATCACCCTCTGCATCGAGCAGCTCCGTCTTCAACCTCGCAAAGTCGAGCGGCAGCCTCTGCTCGGATGCTCCCAACGCCCACAACGGTGCCGGAGCCAAGCGCAAGCGAAATATCAATCTCGCGGCCAGACAGGCTCGCGCCCCGACTCCGCTGCAGGAGTGGGGAAGCCTGAGCATCGATACCTCCTCTGATCGTGCTGGTCCTACTGGCTTCTTCGACTACGCCAGCCCAAAGGTCGGAACCAGCGATGCCGAGGCCAAGGGCCACATCTATACCCTCGCGGGTCAGATAGAGACGCCTGGAGCAGACAACAACGGAGGCGACCACAACTGCCTTGAGGACAGTGTCTACTCCGACGTCGACTATCGCAGGGGCATGGGCTCAAAGAGAACTCGTGGTGACCTCGAAGACCCTCTATCACACAACTCGAACGCTCACTCATCACTCTCGCGATCCCACAACATGGGTGCGACCGATTTCACCTTCTCACTACCCCCTAACGGAGGCTCCGGATGGGGTGCCTTCGCCTTCGGCGCTCTCGGGGGCGTCGTTGGTAGGGTATGGCAATTCTGCAAAGCCGGCGCTTTCCGCGGCTTCTCTGCTGGTGGAGGTTCCCGCTACTCTGTCGATGACCATCATGGACACGGCTTTGTCAGGCAGAGCCCTGTCTCATCCCCAACCTATGATAAGGAAGAGGCCGAGGACTTGGACTCGCTGCGTCAAGATGCCGGGACGCCCGACTCGCTCCCGCGACACGCAGTTAAGAGGAGACAGACGGAGAAGGGACCCGATGATCTCAACAACTGGATCGTCGTCTCGGACCGCAGCCCTACCCCTACCAACCTGGCGTCTCGCCGGCAGACGATGTACGAGGAGAAGCGACAACTATCAAAGCCAGCCAGCCGGGCCACGAGCCGCGCAAGCAGCCGACTCTCGCACGGCCACAGGTCTAGCGTCACAGCCTCGCGTCGCAGCATGCATGGCAGCGTCTGCTCGTCTGCTACCACCCTGAGCATGAACGGAAGGCCCTCGTCGCGCATCTCTCAGGCCGGACGTGAGCCTGCCAGCTTTGCCACACCGCGCTCGCCCATGTCGACCACGTCGTTCATCCCCGTTCTGAACGCATCTCCTAGCCGCATCCCGGTTCCTACGTCTCGTCTTGGAGCCAACCCCTTTGCCGCTCCTCCTGCCGTGGATAGCACCATCACTGAGCAGTCGCCAACCACCCCTGCCACCCCATCTCGCACCAGCAACGGCTTCGCCACTGTCGGTGCCAGCGCCACGAACTTCCCAGCCAGCGGCTCGGTCCACGGCAACGGCTACCGTCGCGGACGACCCAGCTCCACATCGCCGCGCCGCAAGACATCGGTCACGACGGTGCCGCACATCTCTACCGTCTTCGGTGCGGGTGCCGTGGACGACAGCACAGTGGCGGCGGCCGACAGCCCGCGTCTGGATCCCGAGGCACGCAAGATTGCGGCCAAGCGGGCGGCTGAGGAGCGCGAGGCGGACGCACGCATGGAGGCGCTCAACGCGCAGCTGCGGCAGATGATCCGCCAGGGCCGTGAGGCTCTGGGCACCCGGGTCACTGTGGAGGACGATGAGATGGAGACTACCGCGCCCAGCGCGTGGATTGATGCCGAGGATTAGAGTGCCTTGATTGTTTTCTCTACCCTGCTCCTCCATGCCCAAAAGCATATGACTCTGACGACTAGCACTCTTCCACAACAATTATCTTCCCTAATCTCGCACATTTTTCTCTCGCTCCCCTACCTCTCTTCCTTTTCCCAATCACCCAGTAGCCTATGTCGGCTACATGCAAGCACTCCCGTCCAGGATGGAAACGATCAAACAAACCCTGTGATACCCACATTGTACATATAATTTCCTGTAACGATCAAGTCAGCATGAGAAGATGATACCTGCCAGCTCGGCACATGGCACATAGTTAAAACCTTTGTATACGCTATTCATGAATTAAATTCCCGCATGGCTCCTTACAACTTGCGCGCAAGAAGTCCCTGTTTGCCGAGGTAATCGCAGCGGGTGCCCTTCATGGTGACTTCCGGAAGCCCCCATCGCGGTAGAGTTTCTCTTCGAGTGCGACCCTGCCAGACTAATCGAGATGCCCTTGTTACATCGCATTGGGGTTACAAAACATCAATACCACTTTCAGTGTAGGATTTCTTTTGTGTTTCCTTATCCGAGGGCGAGGCAGGCATTTCATTTGTAGCGTGTACTTTATACCAGCGTCGGCAGTTCTGACGAAAGTCGCCGATCCAGTGTGTTTGAAACCAGAAAACTGTGAGGTCCGACGACGCGAGACCATGATCCTCGTCCCTGCGGATTCAACTACCGCTTTTTTTCTTCTTTTCTTTTTTATCTGAGGGGTTTTGTTGTCCACTCCAGGCGACTGAACCGGCTGCGAACACTTTGGTGTTTCCGCAGTTTTCTGCAAAGCCAGGCCAAGGCGCATCATGCCGCGTAGAATGGCGATTCCCACAGCGATGGCGATCGCGGGAAGCTTGCTCAAGTCTAGTTCACCTAACCTTCGTCTCGCCGGCCCCTCGGGAATCAGAGCCGTGGCCCTGGGGATGTCTAAAGAAAGCCCGCTTTAAGAATGACGAGTCCGCTTCCAAGAACCATGTAGGAGAGTCGTGGCCTGGCTGTGTCACTATTCCCGAACAACATGCCCGTCTGCGTTCGCCTCACGCCACTTCTCTCTATTTGCCACGGACGACAGGCACGCCGTCTGGTATGTGCAGGCTACAGACGGTCTAGATGCACCTCACCTGATAAAAGATCAAACCAAAGTGTAGGGGTGGGCGAACAACGTGGCCGTCCGGTGTCTAATGAGTCGGGACGAAATAGCAGGCAGATAAAGAGAGGGGAAAGACATCTGCAGCCGAGAAGGTGGTAGCGAAAGGCAGGGCCGCCGCCGCATTTGTCAAGATAAACATGATCCCAGGCTGGTTTGCACGACACGAGAACCCTGAGGCCGGGTCGGGTAGGGCCCTGCACCGAGTGGGAGAGGCCGGGACTGGAATTCGACCGAGTTTAGTGTTGAGTGGGGTACGGGGAGGTCGATAAGAGAGAGCCCGGGTAGTTTGTTCATCAGATTGGTGGGCGGCGGTTCTATCCTTGGTCTTGCTACCGAGCCCTGCGACTGCCGCAGGGCGTTCCAAGGGTCGACGTGCTGCCTCGTGGATGCTTGCTGTGGGCGTGGCAGAACCTGATGCAAACCAAACGGGTGCCGCGCCCTGGCGATACATGGGGCCGGAGGAATTTTCTTCTTACTTGGTCGCAGGAAATGCGGGCCAAGCCGACCCAAGGGGAAACCAGAAACAGACCGGGTTTATCGGAATGATCGCCATGGTTGTGTGGTCTCTGGAGTTAAAGTTGAGTTGACTGCCTGGCGAAGCAGGCCAGGAAGAGAGTGCGTGTGTGTGAACTTGGGCCAGCCACCACCAGGACCAAGGGATTTTCGATGGACGCAACAATCAACCTGGGGCTCGAAGTTGCAGCAAGAAGGGTCGTAATAATATCGGCGAAGCATGCGGGAAGGGTGGAGCAGGTGTTTTATGAGAGGCGCGGCTTTGCGACGAATGGGTCGATCATTCAATCTTTCCGCCGCAGTGCTCTGGCTGGCTGGCTGGCTGGTGCTGCTAGGTACTGTGCTCTCTGCAGGCTGCTAGGTACTTCCCCTTTGGGGACGTTTGTTCGGCATACAGGCCACGATAAGATGGGATACTAGCATTCACTGCGGTGGCTGTTACCATTACCTCTGGCATCGGGCTCGATGTAAACATCGGGTCGACGGTCTACTATCATCGTCGGGTGTTACAAGGCACGCACCCTGCCTGAGCCTGTGCTTGTGTTAGCTGCTCTCGCGGCTCGCTCTGATACAACTGGTCAAGACGGTGATAAAGGCTACTGGCAGTGTACACAGTAGGTGGGAGGTACCAGGTATGTGGTTGACCGAAAGAGGGCTCAGCTCATCTGGTCTCTGACAGCCCCGTCTGTTGCGCGAAGATAAGGCCAACTGCAAGGGACACGGCGCAGTCACCAGACACTCGCACCAGACAGTCCGTCCTATCGTTGATTTTATGACTGGCATGGTGTCGAACCGCCTCCGATTGGCCGCGTAAACCCCCGGGTAGCGTGTTAGAGGACAGGCCCCCTGTCGAGGGGACGGAAGATTTCATGTTGATAAAATTGACGCACGGCCAGAGTCGAGGGAAGATGGCCAACCCCAGCAGTTCGTGGCGGCACGTTAGGTGGGTGGTCCTGGGTGGAGCCGGCTGGCTGGGCCGGCAAAAAGGTGGCAGTCACGCTTGTCGGAGGGGCCGCTGTGGCTCCTTCCTCTCTGGAAGGGCGAAGAGCGAGGCTCTGGGGAAGCCACGCCACCTGAAACTCGCGCTGGCCGGGGGAGCCCTTGTTTCCAAACGTCGGATTCCACCCACATCACGTCGTGCCTGACAGTTCTGGGTGCCAGTGTGTGCCAGTCTTGCCCACGTGTTACTGTGTAAGGCTTCTGCTAGGAGTCGCCGCAGAATCGACGCGCACGAGCAGTGGCTTGCCATGGGCCCCTCGGGCGGGCCAGTCGCGATGCCTCGATCCCCACAGAGCGATACGACACGGACATGACGCCCTCCCGCTGGGCTGTGCTGTGCTCGGCTCGAGATTGTGGCTGCGCATGCTCGTCTACGACGCCTGTGCCTGGGCAGACACGCAGAGTGGAAGAACAGCAAGCCGGCCACCAGAGGGCAATCCCTCTCATCTATCCGCGACGCCATCACCTGTCTCTACCAAAGTGGCTGCATGCGCCCTCGCTCGACTAACTCTCGGCGTCAATGCGCCTGTCGGTTGCGCGGCCTCTCGTCCCCTTCCCAGCTCAAGGGGTGACAGCCGCGTCGCCCAAGGGTCCCCCCTCGCCGACCCTGCAGCTTCCCAGACCTCGCCGATGCAACGTGGGCGGAGAATTGTTCCACTGCTTCCATCAGTCCCTGCTGTCTGACCAGTGCCGCAAGAGCAGGGCTCCGCCAGCGACACCCCGAATTTCCCCCATCGTCCTCGACCAGACCGTCCTGCCCTCCCTGCCCTGTCCCTGTCCCTGTCCTGTCCTTGTCCGCCTGCCCCCTTTCCTGCCCGTGCTGAATCCCCCCGGCCGTCCCTTTCGCCGTCCCCGGCCGCAGTTGTCCGTGGTGTTGGGACGAAGATCTCGTCTCAGCGTCCCATTGATAAGAAGCTCGCTTTGCGCCTGCTGTTTCCTCCTCCCGCCTCCCACCCCCTCTGATCTGCTCCTAGGATCAGCGCCAACCGCTGCTCTCGTCTGTCGCTCCTTTCTCAGTTTGTAGCCTTCTTTCTTCTGTGCGTGCAGTGCACATCTAAACATTGCTCTTGAAGAGATCATCCATTCCCCGAAAACCCAACCCACCCCCCTTGTCACTCGCTACCGATCCCTCCGGCAAGAGATCTTAACGACCTTCGCGCGCGAGTTCGCCAAGGGCATATATACTCGTCACGACAAACAAGACGGCATCATCGTGTCACGATATACCCCGAAGCTTGAGCAGGCTGTTGAACATTACGAAGCGGACCGAAGCCCCCAGACGACACGAGTAACGACATCATCTCCTCAGCCAACAGACAACAGCAGCCAGTCACCATCATGAAGCTCTCGGCTGTGTTCCTCGTGTCTCTCATCGGCGCCGCCGCCGCCGCCCCCGCCGCCGAGCCCGTCGACGTTGAGGTCCGCGCTGCGGCCCGCGACACCATGCACTCGGGTGCCGAGATCGTGTCCAAGCTGGCCGCCATGCAGGGCAGGGTCTCGCCGTCCAAGAGCAAGAACCCACTGCAGGCCCGCCCCGCCGACCCCAACGCCTGCTACGCCGACTGCATTCTGGCTGGCGGCAACGACTGGGAGTGCATCTGCAAGTGTGTCGCCTGTGGTGGAAAAACTCCTCCCCCTTAGAGGAAGTGGCTCGACCGATCGGAAGCTGGTGGCAGCACGGAGGATTGATGAGGAAGACGCTACGGCAAAGAGAGGACGGCGAGAGACAAGACAGTGCGCTATCAAGAGCGTCCCAAAACAGCTCCACGACGGAAAGAAAACCCATTCGCTCGCTCGCGGGTGGCGTGTGGACTGGCTTGCTACTCTGCTTTGGAGGCTTTAGGCACACGGGAAGCTTTCAACAGAGTGCGGCTACTACGAGGGTCGGTCATGGTTGACTGTCGCTACTCTCCTTTTGCCTCCCCGTCTTCGAGGACAGTGGCTGCTCTCTTAGGGACTTGGTGCGACCTCTTTATCCGGATGTTTTCACAGGAAGCCTGGGTGGGTGTCTTAGCTGGTCCTGGTGAACTTTTCTCCGTCCCGGAGCCGTGGACGGCTAGGGACGGGCGGGCTTGGATGTGACTGCGATACAGCGTACCACTACTCTGGAGTAGCTTTTCTTTATCCTGTTACCATATTCTGCCTTTATTTCACTGTATGCTAGGGCCCGAGCACGGGTTCGAAGTCTCATGTACTGTACACTAGAGCACGAGGAGCAATCCAGAAGCAAACATGACTTGTGACGGTTGGATCAAGCATGTCAAGCCATGGGCTTTTGTGTTTATATGTGCATTAGGGGTATATGCATTAGAGACGAATGTACCTAGTTACACCTATTTACCTGCAAACCGGCGCCGTTTTAAACAAGAAACAGCTGAAAAACGCCTGTTAATGTGCTCCAGCATCCCGCTGGCCCACAAAACAAATGAAAGCCAATAGGCGCAGGTGTCTCTTGACCTGTTGTTTGAACTGTGAGCAATATTGCTCGAGGATATCAAGGATTATAAAAAAATAAAAAAAGAGAACAAAACAGGAAAAGTACAGCTGAAATGGCTGTGTTGGTGTGTGGATAGTTCAATTTTTCTTATACGGCAATACCGACGTCGGACGCGCCCGACGTCTCATCGGCATCAACGCCGATGCGCATGGCGCCCGACGCGCCCTCCATGGGCCCAAACTCGTACAGCAGCGCGAGCTGCTCGACGACGCGGTCGCGGTCGCGCGCGGGCAGCAGGGCGGAGCCGGCGGCCGCCCAGGCGACGCCCGACGAGTCGCAGACGTAGACCATGGCCCCCGCGGCGGAGCTGGGGTCGGCCGGCATCGAGGGCCAGGCGACGAAGAAGCTGGCGACGACGACGGCGACCATGCAGAAGAGCAGGGCGACGGCGACCCAGGCGCAGGCGGCGTGGGCCGGGTGCGACTTGTGCAGGCGCGCGGGCACCATGTGCAGCAGCACCGGCATGGCCTCGGCGGCCAGGGCGGCGAGCGAGACGGAGGCGAGGAAGAGCTGGCGGGCGCGCAGGGCGCGCCACAGGCCCGAGGCCGGGTTGCTCGACGGCGCCAGCAGCACGGTGCGGCCGGCCGGCTGCCCGCGCTGCGAGAGGAGGAGGTAGGGGCTGGCGAGCGACACGTTGGAGAAGAAGGAGCCCCACCAGAAGGAGATGGCGAGCCCGATGAGGGTGAAGACGACGCGCGCCGCGTAGCCCTGCTGGCCCATGAAGCGCTCAAACGAAGAGTTGGACGTCCAGCTGACATAGTACAGCACCACCACCAGGAGCCCGCACGCCAGCGCCACAAAACCCAGCCGCGGCGCGTTGGACAGCATCATGAAGGGCAGGTAGTGCTCCCGCTGCCGCGTGAGCGGCGCCGACTCCAAGTTTCCCTGCTGCTGCTGTTGCTGCCTGTAGTCGACACCACCGTAACCGTAATAGTCGTGCTCGTCGCTCCGTCCGCTGCCAGCGCCCGCGAGCCCCTCCCTGTCGTCTTCCTCGTTGTTGCCCTGCAGCGACATGCCCTCGGCGCCGCTGCAGATGGTGACGCCGTAGTCGGTCGTCTCGCTGCCGTCAACCGAGTAGACCCCGAGGCGGAACCGCCGGCTGCCCACCGCGCGGAGTAGCTGCTCGTGCGTGATCCTACCCTTAACCCTGGCCGCCGCCATGGCCGCCGTTGACTCGCCTTCCGTCTTCCCCACCATCGCCTCGGCTCTGCTGTTGCCCGTCGTGGGCAGTGACAGCAGGAGCGACCTGATCTCTGGGTTTCCGGCCAGGGCCGCTGTGCCGATGATGCTCCATGGGTTGGACGCCACGCCGGTCCGCCACCTGAGCATGCTGACGAGCACGACCAGGGAGATGAGGGCCATGAGGCTGAGGATGCCTATAGCGGCCCGCGCATTGGGGGGCGATACGACAAGGGTGGCTGCGCACGGCCGGACCTCGGGCACGCAGAGTTCCTCGTTCTGCCGGATGCCAAACGCCTCGGGCCAGAACGGCACCAGCACGGCCGCGACCAGTAGTAGGAGCTTGGACAGGAAGAGTACTGGCGGGTACCGCAGCACCCCTCCCTCGGGCGCCAGGGAGCGGATGGCAGAGGGGACGCTGTGGAAGACGCCGGCGCGCATGCAGATAGAGTCCATGGCGGGCGCTCCCGAGGGGTGAGTGAGACGGTGGTAGGGGTGCATGTGCCGTGCGCTCGACTCCACCATGCGCGCCGCCGCGAGAGAGATGACGGCAAGGAGCACAGGAAGGAAAAGCGCAGCCAGATGGGCAGGCTTGCTGAGATAGTAGCTCTTGATCCCGACCGGGTTTCCGTTGGCGCTGGCCTCGGCGCTAGGCTTTGCGGGCTGGGGGTACCGCGTCACCGTCGCTGTGGGCCTGCCGGCGGCGTTGGTTAACGTTAATGTCCTGGGTGGCAGAGCCATGGTTGTACGCTCAGTCCGGGTCGGCCTGCCCCGCTCGTCCGTGAGAACACGGACCAGAGTTGCCGATACGGGCGCCGGCGTCAGCGTCTTGGTCGTGATGGCCCCGTTACTGTCAGTGGTGACCACAACCGACGGCTCGGCCCAGTCAATCGACGCCGTCGGTCGAAAGGCCTTGTTGGTCTTTTGGTTGCCGGCATCGCCTGGGTCGCCGGGGCGGTCTTCAGGACGGGAGCCTGAGTCTGAGTCGTCAACGCCCGCGAGCTGCTCCGAGTCACTGCCACCAGGTCTCTTGGGCCGTGGCTCAGGAGTTGCAGACGCGGCGACCGCCGCGGACATGACTGGCATGGGTGGCTGAAGAGTCGACCTGTCGTCCCCATTCGCTGGAGGCCGCGCGCTCGTTTCTTCACCCGAGTGAACTGGCTCCCTGGTGGCTTGGGGCGGCGCTGTCTCGGTCCTGTCTTTGCCGGCTGGCTGTTTCGGAGGATCCCTGTCAGAAGCGTCATCGGTCTTGGTTGGCGGTGCCGACTGTGTGACAGGGGCTGGGATAGGGTTCGAGGGCTTGGGTTGCTCTGAAGGCTGAGTGGGCTTCGGGTCAGAGGTTGGGTCAGGCGTTGATTCAGGCTTTGGGGGCGTTGGTTCAGGCCTTGGAGGTGTTGTATTAGGTGTTGATTCAGGTCTCGGAGTTGTCTGCTCAGGCCTCGGAGGTGTAGTCTCAGGCCTCGGAGGTGTAGTCTCAGGCGTTGGAGGTGTAGTTTCAGGCTTTGGAGGTGTCGGCTCAAGCGTCGGCTCTGGAGTCGGCTCAGGCTTTGGAGGTGTAGTCTCGGGCTTTGGAGGTGTAGTCTCGGGCTTTGGAGGTGTAGTAGTCTCAGGCGTTGGAGGTGTGGTTTCAGGCTTTGGAGGCGTAGTCTCAGGCTTTGGAGGTGTAGTAGTCTCAGGCTTTGGAGGTGTAGTTTCAGGCTTTGGAGGTGTAGTCTCAGGCTTTGGGGTTGGCGTCGGAGTTGGAGACGGGGTTGGAGTCGGGGTTGGAGTCGGGGTTGGAGTTGGGGTTGGAGTCGGATCGGGTTTTGAGGATGTTGGCGGTAGGGACGACGAGGTAAAGCCTGTGCTACTCCCAGGACCTTGGCTACCTTCTCCAGTCGTTTGACTCCCTCCTCCAGTCGTTTGACTCCCTCCTCTTGTTGTTTGACTCCCTCCTCTTGTTGTTTGACTCCCTCCTCTTGTTGTTTGACTTCCCCCTCCAGTAGATGGTATGGGCGGAGGCGCACTTGAAGAACCGTTGCCTCTGGGGTTTCCCTCACCCTGAGGGGCACGTGCTGCAAGCTTTGGGCTTTGGTGTGCTAGATCTTGACCCAGAACAAAGGCGGATCGGGGTGCGAGAAGATCATCGATCGGCGCTGGCGTCGCTGGGTTTTGCCATTCCACCACTGGGAGGGAACGGCACGCCCACTCCGTCACGCCAATGAGGATGAGGATGACTGCGGTCAGGATGAGCAGAAAGGGCCATCTCAAAGTGAATGGCTTCCAGTTCGGGGCAGGGTCTGGGTCCCTTTCCCTCAGGGCTCGGCCGTCGATGCCGCGGTATGTGTGGTTGTTGGATCGAGCCGCCTGCTCATACTCTCCTCCGTCGACCTCGTGGATTGTGCTAACGACAGAGATGGTCGATATAGAGAACCGCGACCCGTGAGGGCGTGGTGTGTTGGGTGTTGGGGCCGCCATATTGCACCCCTTGGTCGTCCCCGGCAGCCCTAGTTCTCCTGTGCTACCATGTATGCGGCACCGACGCTGCGCAAACTCGCTATGGCCTGATGAAAACGTCTAGCTCGAGTTGGCCATCAAGCAGTGGCAGGTGTCATTGGTTGTAGTAGAGGTGAAAATGCCGATGGCTGATTGTTGATGGCTGCAAAACCATCCAGCGCTCTACTATAACGACACCAGATGCCGGTATGCTCAGCACGAGGCACCAAGGTGTTAAAGACACGGCGGGAGGCGGCAGATTAGCAGCCTCCTTGTCTGGGCCGGGGTGGGGGAATGAGCACCCGCGGGAAGTGGCTGTGCCGCGCTGGTGGTGTTCCTGCGCATCGGCGCTCGTTTGGGCGATGATGCGAGCTTCAACCAGGCTAGATCCGGTCTTACATGGGGCTTTTAGGCAATATTGCAACGCTGCGGGAAGGTGTGGAGCTCGCGTTGGCGGCCTTGTTGTTCAAAGCCCCAGGGCACACCACCAACAAACTGGCCCACCTGCTGCTCCAGCCAATGGGCTATTTCTTTCTCGTGGAGAAGTCTTTTAATAGCAGTCGTTTCTGGGCGGTGCAGTCCATGACAACGGGAACCATGATCTTCACGGCACTCAACACAGCCATCGGTGTGGTTCTTCTCCAGCCTCTTGTGATAGCCAGCTCCAGAGCGTGATGCTGGACGGGTGCGAGCCAAGACCGCGACAGAGGACATTGCGAGAAGCAAAGTGAGATGATAGCCGGGGATAACCCAGGAGACAGATGGCATCTTGTCAAACAGGACATGCGTGGCGCTCGGTAGCAATTTCCTATGGGGCTGTTAGCTGCTGACTTGCGACCAACACCTCCAGCTTGCAGCAAAAGGTCTGGGCACGATGGAGTTTGGGGTCAAGGGCTTTGAATGGTAGCGTCTCCCCACTTGGGCAGCAGCGCTGTGCGTTCAAACCAGGACGGTGGATGATGGTAGATTGAGTGTGAGAGCAGAGACCGGTGTGTGGGCCAGCTTGGAAGGTCTTTCAATGAAGCTTGCCGTCCAAACAAGTGAAGAGTTTGCCACGCTGCATCTTGTGGGGGCCATCGCTGGAGACTTGCCATTTCTGTATAGCCGCGAGGGGGAGGTTTTCTGTCGGTGTGGGTGGTGACGGTGGTGATGGAGGGCATTCAATAGGGCTAAGTTCATCGCTCAATCGGCGAGCGAGGTGTGCCCAGCCGCCTTGCCGAGCCCCCGTGGCCCACTCCCCATTCATGCTCGCCGGAAGGCCCAGCCATTCAGGCTTCAGGTTTGAGACAGGGCTCCAGATCCGAATGTTATTACGGTGGCTAACACTCTGTAGCGTGCGTCTGGCAGGTGAGGGATGGTCTTGAGATGTTGGTTTCACTGCACGCAGAGCCCTGATCATCCTTCCCGACAAAATACAAAATCGAAATTGCGCTGACAGGTCCACCCATTTGCGGCACAACCATCACGTGGGGTGTAAAGGACCCCGGGCATCCAGCACCTACCCCATCAGGCAGAAGGGGGCCACCGAAGGCGCCACACCTCCCACCCTATAGTACCTGGTCGGTAGCTGTCAAAACCATCACACGAGGTGATATCCATTCCATTCGTCAAGCGTAAATGGTGACCAAAATCTACGTAACCATTCACGCTTCTTCTAGCGAGCCATTAGGAAACGCTATTATTCCCTGGGATGCCCTGCAGTGATATGTTCAAGGAAACATCTTCAAGGAAAGAGTATGGTGTCTAGACGTTAAAGCACAATATTAGCAAAGTGAAGGGCACGGGATGCGGTGATTCCATCATCATGAAGCTAAGGATGCATCTGGGTACATCCTGTGGTTGCTGAAAAAGCGCCAGTACGCTCACCCACCATGCGTAAGCCACATGTACCATGTACCGGGGACGCCACATCTGTATAGACGGCAGGGAGGAGTTGCTCGCAATCGATATGGAGATAAGAAATTTAGCCTGCCACGCCTGCCTGCCCCGGACCTCCATTGCTTGGTCAATGCGCGCGACTGGGGCTGGAAGCTCCAGCCCCATCAAAGTTGAGGCTCTCGCGATGGAAACGCGCCCAACCCACGACCGCATGCCACGTTCCCAACCGGCGTAGTCCGTCGCATCAACTCCTCGGCCGATTGTCGCCCTATCTAACATCCCTCGAGAACGAATACAATCAGCGCCGGCCGTCATGGGGAAGAAGAAGCGCAGTCATCCCGACGTGGAGGAGATTTTGGCCAGGCCCTGGTGCTTCTACTGTTGGTCTTCCCCTCGGCTCCCGCTCTGGCCTTCCTCGCTAACAATTGCCCACGCTCCTTGCAGGCGAGCGAGACTTTGAGGATCTCAAGCTTCTTATTTCTCACCAAAAGGCGAAGCACTTCAAATGCGACCGATGCGGTCGCCGCCTGAATACGGCGGGAGGTCAGTTGTCCAGTCCTGGTTTCCTGCGTACTCATTCGCGCGTCGGATTGCTGCTGACGTATCGCTATTATGGAGCGCAGGTCTGGCCGTCCACATGAACCAGGTTCACAAGGAAACGCTAGACAGGGTAGAGAACGCGATTGACGGCCGCGATGGCCTCGACATCGAGATCTTCGGAATGGAAGGTGTCCCCGAGGATCTCCTCAACCAGCACCGCACCAAGATCATCACAGACTTCTACTCGGCGCAGGAGGAGCGCCGGGCCGCAACCGGAAACCCTCCGGCCGGAACCCAGGGCCCGGCCAAGAAACTCAAAATGGAAACACCGGAGGAGCTCAAGAAGCGGCTAGCAGAGCACAAAGCACGGAGGGCCATGCAGAAGGCCGATGTCGCAAGCCCCATCCAGACCGCCAGCCCAGGCGCCTTTGTAAGTTTTCCCTCCATGTTGTCTATCTTGGTCTTGCTGCTCGGGCTCGACTAACCTGTGGGGGAACGACGGCAACACAGGTCTCACCTTTTGCGCCACCACAACAGTATGCCCAGCCGGGATTCCCCGGCAGCCAGGCTTACGCCGCCTCATCTCTGCCTACCAGGCCTCCAGGCAACGTTGCAGTCGGTCAGGGGCTGCCGCAGCGGCCGCCGTACGGAGCGCACGCGGGTGCCCCACAAGGAGGCGCTTACCCGCAATATCCTACATCTGCAGGCGCTGGTGTGCCATCGACACTTGACGATCTTGTATCGGGAGCCGCACAGAGCGATCATATCGACCAGTTGATACGCTTGGCCGAGGCCGGCGTCAAGTCAGCGGGCGATGGTGCTGCGGAACCCAAGAGCAAGAAGGACAAGAGCACACGCATGGTTGTTGCTGGATCCGCCTTCAGTCTAGAAGAGATGATGGTTCAGTGGAGAGGCATAGCGACAGGGGCATGATCTCGGAAGGCTCCATGACGATCAAGACACTGGAGTTGTCGCTAGTTCCACGGGCGAGCGGCATCGCTTAAGGAAAACTACAAGAGACAGATATCTTGGTGCTTTGTTTGAATCTCACTGAACTTTCTCTAGAATTTTGTTACTCTTTCTGATTTGTGATCGGCGGGCGGGCAGGCCTTTGGCTAGGAAATCGTGAACTGAAGCTATGTGATGATGAGAAGGGCCTCTGGGGTAGGTAGCACAAGGTAATGACTACGCTCACCATGTGAATGCACAGAGGAGCAATCAAATTCTGGGTTCTGTTGGTACTAGCTGAGGAAGCTTCATAAAGCAGGCATGCTAGTCGAAGTATTTGGGCACCTTGAACGATCCCCTCCGACAGCCACTATGTGCACCAGCCGAGAAACCCTTTAATAGAGCACTAGATCCTTGTGACTGAGGTCGAGATCTTCTTCGTTAACCCAATGCCAAAAGCACGAAGCCATGGCCATGCTGCACACGTTTGGTTTGAAGGGGGCTGAGCGAGAAATCTGCACGGCATCCGCTGTTTGAGGTCTGCCCCATGCCATCAACATTGCCGAATCCAGCGAGGGCTATATCACCACGATCGTTGACAGGAAGACGCCTAGCCGCAACGACACACAGCTTCGAGTCTTGTTTGGGAGAGAAAGGGGCCGTGTGGTGCAGAACAGGGCAGACTTTCCCAAGTAGCTACAATTCCTGCGTGCTGTTCCTCTCCGACACATCTTGACTATTCTAGCTGCACAAGCATTTGAACTGATGACCACAGCCATTTACGAGGCGATTTCGCCGTTTAAAATCACAAGTCACACTACCACGGTAATTTTTAATCTCACCTCCCAGGCTATCACAACGACGATGTCAACCGTCCTCATGACATGTCCCGCGGGAGTTTGCAAGGATATAAATCAAAACAATATATGGAATAACGTTACACATCAACAATCATATGAACAATCGCGGCTCCAACGTTTTTCCTTCGCTTCCACGGCGGCCAGCATTCTCGGCATCGCCACTACCACAAACCCGTCTTCCGGGCAATATAACTACCGAAAAATAATATTTGGTCTGTGGCAGCAATCACTACGGCCGCAAGCATATACGCAAATACAATCACATTTGCCACAATGGCTGTAGCTAAAGCATCGTATATCCCGCCATATAAAACAGGAGTCCATTTCCGCGGAATGGTGAAGAGTAGAACACCTATAACCAAGGTTGTCCAGACAAATATGGAATTTACAATACCAGCGGCCACAACCATGGGAGGCAACTTGACGGTCAACGCCAAGGAAAACTATGCCATGGGAGTCGAGGTGAGTGTGTTTTCGGCGACGACGTCTACGGAAAACTCGTCACTCGGGGACGGCGGCGGACACAGACCGCATCACCGACACGTTCTGCGGTACCATATACGCACAGGACAGCACCAAAGGCGTGCCGACAGGCCACTACGAGCAATACTGCATTCTCTACATTATTATCCGATATCTGGCGCGGATGCGGGCAAGGGAGGAGTTTGATCGGATGGGTGGTCATCTAAGCCTAGAAGTTAATGATGGGCGACAAGGGCCTTATTAACCCCTCCATCCAAAATCCGCCTCATCTGGTGATAGTGTAGCATTGTTCAACGCCATCGCAACACCGCCCTTCTAGTGCTAGCCTGATCCTTGGACCAGCTTCCACTCTGGAAAGATAAGAAAGATAGAGGCTGGGAATCGGTGGGTGTGATCTTGCCTTCTTCCTCTCCATCTGGGCCACATTCCCCACCGCTGCTCTTGCTGGCTGCAGTGCGTTCCTACGCCTCCCATTGGACACCTCAAGATTACACACTTGACCAGGACCTGCCGTTTTCAGGGATCACGCGCTCGATAGTGCGAGGAGAACAAAAAAGAAGGATATAAAAAGAAAAGAAAAGGAAAGGAAGAGAAGGCCTCAGGCAACCGATATGACTCGCAACCCAAGCACGGCCTCGGACTGCTAACTCCTCGGAGGTGATCTGGATCCACAGAAGAGGCGAGAGATGGTCACACCGCAGCGGGGAGATACGGGCACTACGCAGGGCCCAAGGAGGCAGGCGGCTGGTGTGATAAAGCCTCCGCGGAGCGACTCTCTACCCTATTGACTCCCCATCCTAGGGGCATGACTACCCCGCTTGAAAATGACCTTCTGATTTAAGCCTGAAGAATGACATGAGATGGCCGTCGGAGCGGGGCTTGCCATGTTTCCGGCGCGTATGTACATACCTTAGCTATCTTTGAGCTTGCCGAAGGAGGGGAACGTGGAAGGGTCACAGGGGATGCTCGGTTGTAGTATCTAGAAGCGCGATCTCGACGTGGCACAAAGATCCGATAGCGGCGAGTGTGGGGGAGGGCTCCAGGGGAAGACGGGAGTCTTGTGTCGAGACCTTGGGCGTCTGCGCGCACCCGATAAGGAGGAAATTGATATCAGGCAATCCCGAGGTGCATACCTAGATTAGGACCTTGGAAGCGCATGCAGGGACAGGCAAGCACCGGCCAAAGGCGGGAGATGACTGCTCCATCTTTTCTCTGCTTGAGCTCAAGCCGTGGGGTGTGGGGTGCAGCCGAGTCGCCGGGTCGGCACCACTGATCAATAGATTGCTCGATCGATGAGCCCAAGTTGGCTTCATTGAGGCTGGAGGAGCCTCACCCGCCTCGTCCCCACTCCAGCCAGCGATTCATATTAGTACCTATCCGACACGCTCCCCAGCTCGATCGATATCGCGTCAAGAGAGAATCAGCCTCGTCACTCACACAAGGAAAGAAACGCCAGCAGACCCCCGCCACCGCATGGGAGACGGACGGCCCTGGCGATAACATCACATACTATGTACTAAGCTTGGGCCTCGTTCGGCCCCTCCACTATCTAAGTCCTGATGCAACCCATACCCATTTGATACGCTGGGCGCGGGGCGCCCCTTCAACCCACCATCACTAACCCGATTGAGTAGGTCCCAACTGCCGCCAACTCGGAACCCCGAGTAATCGACGAGCAGCTGCGCTTAGCCGCCGGTATTTGATGCTTGTGCGCATGCTGGGGTGGAGGGTGGAGTTGGTTGGCTCCTCGCGTCGACCTCGGGCTGCGCTGGCCCGCTACACACCTTCCATACTGGGACGCCCAGCAGGACGCCCAACCACCAACCCCCCTTGCCCTAGTGTCCATTTCCCACGCCCCGCCCTTATTTTCTTATTTTATCTTCCCGCGAACCGTTGACGTCAAATTATTAGACGAATGATGGGATGGCACAGGGGCTGTCCTGGCAGCGCGGCATAACCCTGGGCCCTCATGGATTCCTGACCGGGTTTACCGGCAGGTTTGGTAGCGATATCGGCCGGCACCGTTGCTATCATAGCTCTGTCCGATTCCCGAGGTGGGAGGATACAGCCCATGATTACAGTCTCGCCCGTGCAAGTCATTCCCAAGCTCGCTCACGATGACATGTTCCGACTCGGATGTTTCGATACCAACACCTTCCAAAGTCAGCCTCCCCAGGTGCCCGCACGTATCTAGCCTCCAAGTCACAAGACGGTGCTAGTATTGCGTGTCCCCCTCCCATTCCGAGTGCATGCCCACATCCCATCCTCAGTGACCTGCTGTATCGGCAACAAACCCCGTCCCTGGTGACATGGGCTGCTCCACCCCGGCAATGACTTGTTCTGAATGTGGCAGGTGGCGGGCCGCCCTGTGCTGGAGCGTCCCCTGTCGGTCCCCCGAGGGGTGCTCCCTCGCCGCGTGCTCGACGCGCCGCCATGGTGCACCCATGGGCACAAGAGCCGGACGAGAACCTGTGCCAACCACAAGGCCTGTCTGCCAAGCAAACACTGGAGCGTCGACCCGCCAAGAAGGACACACCTGGTGGGCCTCGCAGGGCCATCCCACGAGGTCGACTTGCCAAATGTGAATATCTTCGTGGGCCTGCCAAGACACACTGGCAGATTTGGGTTGCGTGCGCGAGATATCGGCACCTAGTCAACGGGTTGAGGAACAGAGACTCGGCGGAGGGTAAGGGACGGGAAGGGGGAGCTCCCCAGGAGTGTATATAAAGACGTCGAGGAGAAGGCTCCTTGATGCTGTTCGAGATGTTGGAACCAGGCTCTCAGAGACAACGGTCAAGCACACAGAGAATTTGATTGCATCCCGCACAACATCCTCCCCCAATCTATCCTCTGCACAAGCTCACCCTTGACCGCTCCTCCCTCAAAATGTTCGCCAAGACCGTCTTCCTGGCCGCCGCGGCCCTGGCCTCGTTCGTCAACGCCGTCGCCATCGAGCCCAACCGGTTCGGCTGCGGCGCCCCGGAGCCGACCCCGGAGCAGATCCAGATCGCCCAGGCCTTCTCCATCATCGAGGCCGAGCAGGCGGGCAACCACACCCTGGTGGCCCGCCAGGCCATGTCGGTCGACGTCTACTTCCACGTCGTCGCCTCGTCCACCAGCGAGCGCGACGGCTACGTCACGGACAAGCAGCTGGCCGACCAGCTCAAGGCGATGAACTCCAACTACGCCCCGCACGGCATCACCTTCGTGCTCAAGGGCACCGACCGCACCATCAACACCAACTGGGCCTCGGACGGCAACGAGCTGGCCATGAAGAAGGCGCTGCGCAAGGGCACCTACCGCACCCTCAACATCTACTTCCAAAAGGCCATCGGCGGCAACCTGGGCTACTGCTACTTCCCCACCACCGTACAGTCGGGCTCCGACGACTTCTACCTCGACGGCTGCTCCATCCTGTCGTCGTCGGTGCCCGGCGGCTCCACGGCCAACTACAACCTCGGCAAGACCGTGACCCACGAGGTCGGCCATTGGTTCGGCCTGTACCACACCTTCCAGGGCGGCTGCACCGGCAGCGGTGACATGGTTGCCGACACCCCGGCCCAGGCCAGCGCGTCCAGCGGCTGCCCCATCGGCCGCGACTCGTGCTCCAGCGCGGGTGTCGACCCCATCCACAACTACATGGATTACAGCTACGACTCTTGCTACGAGGAGTTCACCCCCGGTCAGGAGTAAGTTTTTGGGTCCCTGCCTTTTGACGTCTCTCTCTCTCCGTCTTTCTGTCTCTTGACAACTTTGTGATGCTAACCACCGCCATCTGCTACAGGGCCCGCATGCGCAACTTCTTCAGCACCTACCGTGCCAACAAATAAACGTCACCGCCTAGGTGGCCTCGTTGGCTCAACTCCGCGGGAATGGCGTGTCCGAAGTAGACACGCCAGGGGGAGGAGGATTGATGGAGGGTTTGTGGGATTATGAGGGGATGTGTCGCCTGCGGGTCGCTCAAGCGGTGGAATTCCCCCTTTTTCACCTCGCAGGCACCGACGGTCCAGTTTCTGGATGTGGCGTCGGTTTTCAGAGTAAATATTCTTCACTTTTGATGTCCATACTTGTACCGAACCAATGAGAAATGCATAACAAACAACCCAATTTGTTCCAAGTGATATTATCATGGTGCATTTTACTTACGAAGGAGACGCGAAATCGCAGAGACCTCGAAGGGAAGGAGTTTTTTGCCAGCCTTACACCAAACAGCTGTCGGCTGGAGGCACGATTTTTGCCTTTATGGAGTTAACCAGATCCGCAGTGCTCCCCATGGGCTATATATCTCGAAAGGGGTAAATAAATATATATAATATATATTATATATATATCATGGTGCATTAGATACGTTCAGGGGTCTGTCTAACCTTGCATACCGTCTTCCCCTTGTCGGAAAGTTGCATTATCATTAATTCATTCCCATTTAGATTTCACCCCATTTGCGAAATAACAGGCTCGCTCTCGCCTTACAGCGTCCTCGTCGCGCTGCCGCCCAGGTCGCTCACACAGCGAACATTGCCTGACGGCTGGCGGACGCTACGCGACGAAAATGTAAAGTCACCCGCGCTGCCCGCCACGGCCGTCATGCTCTGCTGGAAGGATCCGTCGCGGTTTGAGTACTGCAGCGACATGGACGAGGCGCGCGGGGCGCCGGCCCTGCCTGGCGCCGACCGGCACGTGGCAGTCAGCGTGCCGCCCTGGCTCGACGCCCAGGTCAGCGCGACGAACGAGACGGCGTCGGGGACGACCGTCGACGACGCTGTCGGGGCGGCCGTGGTCGACGTCGACGTCGGCACAGGAGTGCCGGTCGGCGCGGTCACGGGCGGCGGGCACGAGGCTGGGTCGAAGACAGTGACGCCGCTCTGCGGGAAGGGCGACAGCGGGCCCCAGATGTTGGTGCCGTCGAAGCCGAGCCCGCGTGACAAAAAGTCCATGTCGCGGAACTGGTGGGCCGGAGCGGGCGAGCCGGGCGTCGAGACCTCGGGCTGGATCCACTCGCCGATGGGGGCGACGTACTGGCCGGCCTTGAGGCTGTTGCGCGTGACCTTGACGGGGTTGTCGAGAGTGACGAGGTACTCGCGCGTGTACTTGACGGGCGACGTCGCGGCCTTGAGGCGGAAATCGAACTTGTTGCGCGCCGCACCCGCGATGGTGGCCGTCGTGCCAACCAGGCGTGTCGTCGTCACCTCGCCCGTGCACACGTTGATGTCCATGGCTGTGAAGGCGATGTTGGCCGACGGGAACGAGGTGTAGCCGATGAACTGGTTCGGGAAAGTGACGCCATTGTCAGACGCTTTGGTTCGTGCTATCGACTCACAAAGGATGTGTGTATGGGGAAGGCCTTACCTTGACCTGGCCAACCTCGGCCGCAGGGTCCGCGGTAAAGACGCCCATGATGGCATCCTCCATGCGGATGTAGGTTGGGTCGCCCCTGTTGGGGTCTGTGGTTATCTGCACGTTGGTGGCCACGATTTCCGTCGCGTAGATAATGTCGCCGCGTTTGAAGCCGCTGTACTCAATAAAGTCACCAGCCATAAAAGGGGCCATGACCAGAGCGTCGGGTGCCAGGCTGTTGGTTGTTGGCAGACGTCCCGGTTAGCCGCCACACAGACTTCGTTTGACCAATGGCATTGACGTTTTGTCATCGGGGCCGACTTACAAGGATCCCTGTCTGGTGTTGCCCGTGAGGAGCGGGCGCTGGGTCGCCGGGCACAGGGGGTCGCTCGAGCTGCGGGGGACGCACATCGGGAAGCCCGAGAAGGCGGATATGCTCGGGTTCTCGCCGTCCGAGGTGAAGAACGGGTCGTCGGCGTAGGGCAGGCCGTAGACTCCCTTGGGGTCGTTGATGCGCAGCTTGGGCCCGCCCTGGAGCGACATGGTGCCGTCGGCGTTGATCTTATCGATGACGCCTTGGCCGCCCTGGACGGAGAACTGGCTGACCGAGATCATGCCCGCTATGGGGACATTATTTACCAAGTTGCCATCAACCTGTGTCAGTGTGTTATTAGCCTTGACCTCTGGCACTGCTAGCGCTTTTGCAGTCTAGATGGCGGACTCACGGTGACCTCGTAGCCCGCAAACTTCCCCTGGTCTGCGACGAAATCTTTCCATGGGATAAAGGTGGCTGGGAAGGTGACCTGGAGATTCTTGGGGACAACAACATTGAAGCCGAGCACGCTAATACTACCTCCGGTGTTGAAGGATGAATCTGTAGCAGTGGCGCTAGATACACAGCATCGAGGGAGGTGTTAGCTTTGCCCAACCGTCGGCCGTTGAATCAGACTGGACTTACCCTTCAAAGGCACCTGTCAGCTGGAGTGGGACATCTTGTGCCCTCACTTGGACCAGTACTGCGAGCACGCAGAGGAGTAGCGCCAGTGTATAGCGAAAGGTAAACATATCGACGCTGATGGATGAAGGCGGATGAGGTCTCTGGTCGAGGTCGGGAAGGGGAAAGTCATGGTGGCAGCGGCCTTATTTACTTGACATGATCAAGGGCCAGTCCGGCTTCCATGGACGACTGCCCCAAGCCTAAGCACAAACGAGCCGCTGGGCTCAAACGGGGCCGTGGCAAACCCATCCCCGGCCGTCGGTCACTTGGGCGGAACAAAAAAAACGATAGCGCCTTCACGACCCCTGGCTAGTAGCCTAGTGTGGACAATGCACCGAGGAAGGCGAGGCGACGCCCATGGCTCACCGGTGGGCCCGTGGCTGGACCTTGAAACCTGGCGACCGTGAAGTGAGCAAGGCTGCGGCGACGACGTCGCTGGGTTTGCGGCTGAGGCTGATCTGGGCCGCTTCTCGGCCGTGTTGTTGAGCTGGAACGCTCGCGCAGGGGACCCGATGCAGATCTAGGACTTAGCATATGCCTGGACAGGCATGGCGCTAGAGACAGTACGAAGAAGGCGGCATAACGCCCGTAAAAAGGACAGTAGTGGGAGAAGGCACGACTGACGAGTTGCTCAGCGGGCTGTGCGTGGGCCGTTCCTTCTGCGGGTGCCTGACACTGCAGCTTCTTTTTATGGGATAACGCTAGCCTGGCTTGGCTAGGGCGCGGTCAGGTTCCCAGAGATCCAAGCGCCTTGGCGAGATGGTTCGAATCATCGAATGTCTTTCTTCCCCAGATGCCAGCCAGGGCAACCTGCTCAACTACTTGGAGGTGGGGGTTGTCGTTCGGTTCAAGGCGAGGCAGCAACAATACTGTGTGCTCAGTTTTAACTACCCGAGCCTAAGCTCTCGTCCGAACTCTTCTAGGTTGACATCCGATCTTCTCCGAAAACCTAGCCCTTTTTTCAGCTTCGAGAAACGTGACCAGCCCGCGATGCCGTCGTCCAGCAGCCGCAGAGATGTGCATCAAATAACGACAACAGACAGGCACTATCGATGCAGACCTCGGCCGACTCGCTTCCAGGGCCCTGTTTACGGCCAGTATTGGCTGCCACGCAGGCAGGCTGCCACAAAGCACGACGGAACACGCGACTCGCAGCCCTTGCGCAAGCCGCTGCGGGTGAGGCGCCTTCTGCCAGGGGAACTGGGCGCCAGAGCGGAAAGGGACGCGCCGCGAGGTGGCTCTAGCGCCGGTTAGCGTTAGAACAAGCAATTGGGTCTCCCGACGGCTAGACCCTGCAATTAAGCGACGGCTGAGGGCACTAGCGCTCAGCTAGGCAGTAAAGCTGATCATGGGGACCCGGAGGCCAGGACCCTTCCTTGGGCCCTGGCTTGATGAAGATAGCCTCACTGACTCCACAGCTGCGTCACTCGCCCCCTCGCCCCAGTTCTGTTCTTGTGCCAACACACGCTGAAACTCGTCCTGGACGACTCAGCTCTGGACCTCGACGAAGACCCTTGCGCGCCAGCAAGCCTCGGTCGCGAAAGTCATGCCACACTAGGAGACCCTCGAGTGGGTGGCGCCGATGGCTCGGGAGCGGGAGTCGAGTCGAGGCCGAGCGTCTGACTGTTGCGAGCTTTCGGGGAGGTCGCCGAGGGTCTAGGCCGAGCAGACTAGAGGCTCAAAGGAAACGGCAGCGATATAAATCCAACCGTTGATCCCGTCATATTCGGCTTTCCTTGGCGAGCAGCACAAGCATCTTGGCAACCAGCCACTCCTGAAGTTCCGAGGACGACCAAGATCTGGGGACAGCTTCTTGGCTAATAATATCTAATCTCCTCCGCAATATGGCGCCTTCTACCCCGTCACTCCTGGCGGCAGCCCTGCTGGCCTTCAGTCCCCAGGTCCTCGCCAAGGACTGGGAAGGAGCGCCCTACAAGTGGCTCTTCCAGTACCCGCTCCCCATCCCGCCGGTCAAGAAGCCCAAGTACGACACGCCGTTCAAGCATCCCGTCACGGGCCGGGACATCAACTACTTCGAGGTCGAGGAGAAGCTGTTCTCCAAGAACGTCTACCCGGATAGGGGTAACGCGACGTTCAGGGGGTACGATGGCGTCACGCCCGGGCCAACCTTTCTAGTGGAGAAGGGGACCGAGAACATCGTGCGGTTCACCAACCACATCGACATGGCCACTTCGGTCCATCTCCACGGCTCCTCGACGGTAAGAGGCGTCATGACACTGAGACAAAGCGCTCACTCTGCTGCATGACAAATCGCTAACCACATCTTGTTTGTTCCCGTCAGAGGTCTCCGTGGGATGGCTGGGCCGAAGACCTTACCAGTCCGGGCGAGACAAAGGATTACTACTACCCTGACAGCCAATCTGGCAGGATGCAGTGGTACCACGACCATGCCCTCGACCACGTCAGTTTTATCCCTTCCAACGCGGACAAGCTCAAGCACATCGCGACTAATATTCTGTACTTTACACGAGTTGCAGACGGCAGAAAACGCATACTTTGGTCTTGCTGGCGCCTATATCATTCACGACCCGGCAGAAGACAGCCTTAATCTGCCGTCGGGCTACGGGCAGTTCGATATCCCCCTAATCCTGACATCGAAGCAGTACAACGACGACGGCACCCTCTACTCGCCCGCGAACGAGAGGACGAGCCTGTACGGGGACGTTATCAACGTGAACGGCCAGCCCTGGCCCTTCTTCAACGTGCAGCCCCGCAAGTACCGGTTCCGGTTCCTCAACGCCGGCATCTCGCGCAGCTTCTTCCTGTACTGGGCCGACGTCGCCGACAAGGCCGGCACCAAGATCAAATTCGACGTCATCGCCTCCGACACGGGGCTGCTTAGCGGGCCGCAGAAGTCAGACTCGCTCTACCTCTCCATCGCGGAGCGTTACGAGGTCGTTTTTGACTTTTCGGGCTTCAAAGGCAAGACGCTGATGCTACGCAACACGCGCGGCTTCGCGGCCGACACGGACTACCTGCACACGGACAAGGTCATGACCTTTGTGGTCGGCAAGGACTCGGTCCCGGACCCGTCCGAGATCAAGTCGTCGTTCCGCACCATCCCGTACCCGGACCCCAAGGCCACGGTGGACCGGCACTTTAGGTTCGAGCGACAGGGCGGCGAGTGGACCATCAACGGCGCGACGTGGGCCGACGCCAACAACCGCGTCATGTCCAAGCCGCCGCGCGGCACCGTCGAGGTGTGGGAGCTCGAGAACAGCAGCTCGGGCTGGACGCACCCCATCCACGTGCATCTCGTCGACTTCCAGGTGGTCAAGCGGACGGGCGGCAAGCGCGACGTGCAGAGCTACGAGGCACAGGGCCTCAAGGACGTCGTGTGGCTGGGGCCGGGCGAGACGGTGACGATTCGCGCGCGCTACTCGCCCTGGGACGGCCTCTACATGTTCCACTGCCACAATCTGATCCACGAGGACCACGCCATGATGGCCGCCTTCAACGTCACCGCCCTCGAGGGCCTGGGCTACAACGAGACGAGCTTCGCCGACCCCATGGAGAAGCGCTGGCGCGCCGTGCCCGAGACGCCCGAGCTTTTCAGTCTCGACGCCATCACCAAGCGCGTCGCCTTCATGGCAGGCGAACAGCCCTACAACAACGAGGATGAGGCCGAGAAGCGCGTCAAGGCCTACTGGGCCACCAAGACGGCCGCCGCCGCCAGCCCTGCGACGCCGACGCCGACCTCCAAGAGCGGGTCTGGTAAGGGTGACGACAACAGCGGCAAGAGTGGCCCCGGAAAGAGCGGCTCTGGCAAGCGCGAAGCCCCCCGCGTAGCCCCCGCCAGGCGCTCTCCCCGTCGGGCCGGCCGCGCTTAGAAACAGCACTGAGTACTGAGTAGGTACCTCCCTAGGTACTGGCCTGGTCAGGAATGCCAGACGGATTTAATGATTTGGGATGCCGGGGCTTGTATCCAGGAGATCAGGGTATCAGGGACGTGTCTATGGGGTTGTCTTTTCCTTTTGTTCATGTGTTACGCCATGTATGATTTTCTTGCATCAGGGGTTTTCGGCTGGGGCTTCGCTTCAAAAAAATAATCGTTGTAAATAGGTATCCAATACAAATCGTGGTTGGCTTTTTCATATTTTATTCATCAAGTCTATCGCTCGTGAACCACCAGACCCTTTTAGACGTAGCCAAAGCAGTTGGCGTAGTAGGTCACGGTGGCCGACCAGTCGGTAAAAACGCCAATGGCGCCGATGTCCCTGACGAGCACGTCGAGCAGCTTGAAGACGTCGCCGTCGCGCTTGAGGAGCTTGCCGATGGTGGCGTAGTAGTAGCCGCCGCCGCTGCCGTCGCCCAGCCAGGCGGACCGCTCGAGAGTCCAGGTGATGATCTGCAGGCCCAGGCGCTTGGCCTCGGTCGCGTAGGGCGAGGGCACGATGGACTTGCCGTCAGCGCCGCCGACGGTCACGAGGTAGGGCAGGGGCGGGGCGATGACTTTGACGCCGGCGGCGGCGTAGAGGGTCAGGTTCGCGACCGACTCGGGGAACTTTGTCGGGTCGGCGTCGGCCGACTCGTCGAGCAGGACGGCCTGGCGGGCGAACTCGGGCTCGGCGCGCAGCCAGTACAGCACGTCGGCGTACCGGAAGCTCTGGGGCCAGACGCGGGCGGGCGCGATGCCGGCCTCCTTGTACTCGTCAATCATCTTCTGCGCGAACCTCTCCTGCGTGAAGTCGCCGCCCTTGAACGGCATGGGCACCTCGGGCGCCTTGAGCTCGGGGGTGAACTCGAGGCCGAGCGCGTCGGTGAGGGCGATGAACTCCTTGTGCGTGATGAGGGTGCCGCACTCGCGCGCGTACAGGTCGGTGCGCCACGACGGCGTGCCGCCCAGGAACTCGGCCGGCGTCTTGGCCGAGGGGTTGGACGCGTCCATCTTGCCGCAGAGCCTCTTGAAGTCGGCGAGCGTGATGTCGCTGGTGCAGCACCTTGCCGTCGCGACCTTGCCCGTGGCCGGGTCGGCCGGCTGGAAGGGCTGCGTGCACTTGGCGTTGAGCTCGGGGATGGTGACGATGTTGGTCGTCGTGTGCAGGTCGCAGTGCGAGTGCCGGCAGACGAGGTGCTCGTCCGACGTGAAGGCGACGTCGCACTCCTGGATCCCAGAACCCATGCGAGAGCCTGCGTTGGAGGCGCAAAGCGCAAACATCAGCACATCGTGTCATACAGAACCACAGCAAAGAGAGACGGCGTGAGCCTGATGGATCCAACTCACCGGCGAGGATCGATTCCCGCGTGCCCTCGGGGATCTGCAGGGTGCCGCCGCCACGGTGGGCGATGGAGAGCTTGCTGGGCTTCATCTGCAGCTCCTTGCACGAGTCGAGCTTCCTCTTGAGCGGGCCGTCCTCCATGTTGTCGACTAGCCAGTATGGCCTGGGGCCCAGCTGTACCGACTTGACGGGGTGGACCTTGGGACCGCACGACTTGGCCGGGGCCGCGTTGGCGGGCCCGCCAAGGGCCAGGAGGCCGGCGACTGCGAGCTGTGCGGTGCTGGCGCGCATTTTGGAAGAGACGGCGCGGGACGATCGGTGCAGACAATACGGGAGGAGGCGACCCTGCAGGAAAGCAGGCAGAGTCAGGGCAGCAGGACGCGCGGTGGGCGGGATGGAACGGCGCGTGTGACGGCGGGCAAGCCCCAGCAGCACGCATCTCTCTTATACCCTGGACGATCAGGTCGGCCAGGCCACCGATGCGACTCTGCCGATTCCCTCACTCCTCCTGCGGCCGAGGTAACCGAAGCAGCTGCTTCTTTGGGATGCAGCCTGCCATGGCCAATACAAAGGTGGATGCATCGTCCAAGAAGATGCAAGACGAGGGAGGTTGGTGGTGGTGGAGCGGGGAGAAGCCGGGGGAGGTTCGTGCTGTTGGAACCTCGTGGCACCGAGAGCAGCAGGGAGCGGCCTCCCCGGTCCCACCACCGATGGTCCCCGATGCCTTTTACATGCGCCCACAGCTGTTATCATCTCGCGAGGCTGGGGCCATCAACCTTGGAGGCTTGGCGGACGCGATTCTGCGAGTCGTTGGGCGCACGTGTGGGAGATGGGGGACAGGCGACCCCTGTCCCTGCTGAATTGGCATGACGTGAACCTGGTCTGTGTGCTGTTTTTGTGGGGCGTTTGGGGCTTGCGCTGAATTTCAGCTGTCGAAACAACGCTTTTCATCAAAGCCGAGGCCCAGCTGCAACCAATGCTCTCCCAAATTCACACTATGTGCCCTCCACTGGCTGAATCCTCATAGGACAGCGTCACTTGACGGCTCACGTTGATCTTGGACATATCTCCGGCGATGGCCCAGTCGGACAAATGCTGGGGCGCGCGACCAAGAGCACTTGACGACTCGACCGAGATCAAGGTCTCGCTGGGTCTCCGATCCCCATCGTCCCGTCTGCCCTGCGCCAGCCTCTCCTCGGAATCGTTGCCCAACTCTAGCTCGATGGCCCCCTGGCTCACCTGCCTCCGAGTCTTTCTCTGAACCCGGCTGCCCATTGAGGCTCCGGCGCCGGCGCCCTTGGAAAGCTCCAGTCCGGTGCCGCCGTCGCCCGACCCAGCCGAGCGGGAGAATGCGGTGCCGAACAGCTGCGGCAGGAAGCGGGTGAAGAAAGGCTTGAGCGCGCTCGCCGAGGCGCAGATGACGCACCCGGCCAGCTCTGCGTACATCCAGCTTAGCTCGTGTGATAGGCCGCGCGTGTAATTGTCGCTGCTAAAGAGCTTGACGGTCAAGTAACAGCAATAAGAGGCTATGACAATGACGCTAGCAGTGAGACATGTCGACGTTAGCAACCAGACAATGCTGCGATATGGAGCCGACCTTCTAGTCAAGCTCGAGGGCGCACTTACGATCCACCGGTTCCGAATAGAAAGAACAGGGACGTCTTTTGCCTCCGCGACACCTGCAGGGGTATCACGATATGCAAAGGGACCACCAATATGGCCATGTCCATGAAGACGTTGGCGACCGAGGCCGCAAGGAAGAAGGAGAACTTGTCGACGCAGCGAGCAGTCGGGATCGCCGCCAAGTCCCAGTGTGCACGGAAGGGGATACATCCAAATAGGCTGATGCACGCGTAGATGGCACCGTACAGGATGAAGCCGACGATGAGCATCTTGACCACGGCTCTGTAGGTCCGCTTTGGCGACAGCGACCAGTATAGGACGAGGAGCGACAGCTTTGCGAGATCAGCCGTGAGCATGTAAAAGATGTTTACGGGGAGCGTCCACTGTTGGTCAACACATTCATCCTGTTAGCCACTAACTACAAGGTCCTGCCCCCTCGGTTCTATGATTTATACTCACCTTCAGTAACTCTTCAAACTCGCTCATCGTCACTTGCCACATGCTCCGGCCGCAGCCCCCGTTCGCTATCACTGATCCCGCGAATGGCCAGGTTAGTGATGTTCTTGTTTTCCAGTTGAAAGATCTACACTTACTTCCCATGGTGCAAACATAAAACCCCCAGCCACACACCATTGCGGTGCCTGCAAGATCTAATTTTTTTTTTTTAGCAAACCGTTGGCGACAACTTCTGGAGGGCCGTAGTTCCAGGATGGTGTGGTTGTATCTGGGACTTACAGTCGTCCCAACCAGGCCTTAGACGTGTTAGGTACAGGCGCGAATACATCCGTAAGCCATAGACCAACGTTGCCAGCCCTAGAGTCACAGCTCCGGCGGTTTGCTGCGTCGCCGCTAGCGAGCCCGCCGCCCAGCGCTCCTCCCCTGGGGGCGGGTCTCGCATGAACAGTGGTTCGGCAGCCATGGTGATCGTTCAGCCGGTGGGATCTGCTAGTTTCGTTAGAGAATACAATGACGAGAGCGGATACAGTCCAGCTGCCACGCCGTATGCGGCTGGCGGCTAGTATTTTATGCACATCTCGAAGAAATGTTAAAGCGACCCTCGAAGGATGGAAAAAGCAATATCCCATCCTGTTTCTCTTGGTCGTACACCACAAAGCACGGCCAGCCAATCTCTCGACAGCGTCAACAAAAAGGCGACCGCCATCGACAAAGGCATGGGGCGATGCCAGCATCTGCAGGGGCGTTTATGTGATATATCGTACAAGGACTTCTGTTGTATAGGCATGCAAGGCCTTGCTCTAGACGGAGCGTCCTCTCCGGTCTTTGGCCGTTTCCCCATCATTCGAGGCTGAAAATAGCCAAGGGGGCCGGTGAGGAGATCTGACGAGAACCCGACTGGGGCCGGGGTGTTGGGGCCCCGACAGTTAAAAAGCAAGTCCGATACACGGCCGGCTTATTTTTGCGCCTCCCGAGAGATTAAAACCACCAAGGTGGAATCCGATTCGGTGGGGGGATCGCCGGCTGACATGGCGCTTGAAGGGAGACCGAGCGAACCCCTCCCGCCAGCGCTCCTTCGCGGCCATGTCTACATACTCCGAAACCGTTATCCCTCGGGTCAGGCTGCTGCTGGTGCCAAGATTCGACCTTTTTTTTTCATTTACATGGCCTTGAACGTGGAGTTTTGAAGTTTAGCCTCTAGCTGCCCTTCGGTAGGTATATACTCACGACGCCACGTTCCGCGTCCTTGAGACTGTGACCCAAGTGCCGTAGCTATCAGACCTCTCAGCAGCCAGGCAGCCGGCGCGGAGATCCTGGTCAAGGTCTCGATCACGAAAATCTCATTTACATCTCGGCCTGTGCTTTTTACTCATCACCTTCGAAATGGCCAGCACTCATCCCTTCCAGGACAAAGTGATTGCCGTCACTGGCGCAAGTCGAGGAACCGGTTTGGCCCTGACGCGATACCTTCTAGTCCGTGGCGCCAAGGTTTCCATGGCGGCCACGTCCGAGCCGAACCTGGCGGCGGCGGTCGAGGGGATCGAGAAAGATATCCCCGAGGCCAAGGACCGCGTCATGACAATGCCAGTGGATGTGACCAAGCCCGAGGATGTCAAGAAGTGGATAGGCGCTACCGTTGCGAAATGGGGGCCTCTGGACGGAGCAGCCAATGTTGCTGGTAAGTCTATCGTTCGGGGAGGAAAAGGCACACCCCGCTGACGCAGCTCCTTCTGGCAGCCAAGATGAACGCGCGGATATGGCCGATAGAGACGCTCCCGGTCGATGAGCTGCAGGAGATGCTCAGCGTCAACGTGGTGGGCACCTTCAACTGCCTCAAGGAGGAGATGAAGAACATGAAGCGCGGCGGCAGCATCGTCAACTGCGGCAGCCAGCAGGTCAAGTATGCCTCGGGCAACATGTCGGCCTACGCGGCAAGCAAGAACGCGGTCCGCGGCCTGTCGCAGTGTGCAGCTTTTGAAGGCGGCGCCAAGGGGATCCGCGTGAACCTGCTCTGCCCGTACGTTTCCTTCTTTTCTGGCCCTCTTGCCATGTGCTCCTTCCTATCAAGCTCCAGATTGCTGTGCAGCGTCCAACTGATATGGAACTCTACAGCGGGTGCATCGACACCGACATGATCCAGCAACCATTGATGCTCCCCAGCGGGCAGATGTGGACCATGACCGAGGATGACAACCTCACATCCATCATCAAGCGGTACGCCAAGCCGGACGAGATTGCTGCCTCGATCGCCTTCTTGCTCGGCGACGAGAGCAAGTTTGTGACTAAGCAGGAGTGGTATGTTGACGGAGGTTGGTGCGAGGCAAACTACGTGGGCTGAGTCACGGTATTGAGGTCAAATTGAGCTATTTTGGTAGCACAAAATGAGTTCGAACTGGTGGTCGAGAACTGTATGTAGAGGGTTAGTTAGGATTCCATCACCAGCATCAATCCCCAGTTCAGGGGTGTGGTAGCTACCCGGACCCACTTCCTGACGCTATATTCACCGCCCTGGCAGAATCCCCGCTCCGCCCAAAAAAATTCTGGACCGCCGCCCGTGCATTATGCATGTTCCAGCGGCGGTTTTTCGCGCCTCCAGTTGCGCCGTCCAAAACTTTTACAGCGCTGCGGCAGAGGAGAAGGAAGGCAACAAGATGGCTACCGGCGCCAAGTCCAGCGCGAAGGCGCCTCGGCAGCCACATAACAAAGAAGCTCGCTCACTAAAGAGGAAACGGGAACAGGAAGACCTGGGAAAGCTGCAACAAGCCGTCAACGACTTTGTAAGTCCTCGAGATGGCCCGCTAGGACGCTGTTTTACGTCGTATGTGATGCTAACCATGACCACCGGTGGCCATCGCACAGGATCCCAAAGCAACACCACCAAATGGATTCGCCGACCTCCCGCTCTCGGAGCCTACCGCCCGCGGCCTGCGCGACTCGCACTTCGAGACCTTGACCGACATCCAGGCCCGCGCCATTCCCCTGGCCCTCAAGGGCTCCGACATCCTCGGCGCCGCCAAGACCGGGTCCGGCAAGACCCTCGCCTTTATAGTGCCACTGCTGGAGAAGCTGTACCGCGAGAGATGGACAGAGCTGGACTCGGTGGGCGCCCTAGTGCTGAGCCCGACGCGCGAGCTGGCCGTGCAGACCTTTGAGGTGCTGCGCAAGGTCGGCCGCCACCACTCCTTCTCGGCCGGTCTGGTCATCGGCGGCAAGTCGCTGCGCGAGGAGGCCGAGCGCCTGGGGCGCATGAACATCCTCATTTGCACCCCCGGGCGCATGCTGCAGCACCTCGACCAGACCGCTGGCTTCGACGTCGACTCGCTGCAGATGCTGGTTCTCGACGAGGCCGACCGCATCATGGACCTCGGTTTCCAGAGCGCCGTTGACGCCCTGGTCGAGCATCTGCCGCGCGACCGCCAGACGCTGCTCTTCAGCGCCACCCAGAGTCGCAAGGTCTCGGACCTGGCCCGCCTGAGCCTCAAGGAGCCCGAGTACGTCGCCGTCCACGAGGCCGCCGCGGCCGCGACCCCCGCAACACTACAGCAACACTACATCGTCACGCCACTGCCAGAAAAGTTGGATACGCTGTGGGGCTTCATCAAGGCGAACTTGAAAAGCAAGATGATTGTGTTTCTGTCGTCAGGCAAGCAGGTCCGCTTCGTCTACGAGAGCTTCCGTCATATGCAGCCAGGCATGCCGCTGCTACACCTCCACGGGCGACAGAAGCAGCTGGCACGACTCGAGGTGACATCGCGGTTCGGGTCCATGAAGAACGCCTGCCTCTTCGCCACCGATGTTGTGGCCCGCGGCGTGGACTTCCCGGCCGTCGACTGGGTTGTCCAGGTGGACGCCCCCGAGGACGCCGACACCTACATCCACCGTGTGGGGCGAACTGCGCGCTACGAAAGCCAAGGCCGCGCCGTTCTTTTTCTGGACCCGAGTGAGGAGAAGGGCATGGTAGCGAGGCTAGAGCAGAAAAAGGTCCCGATACAGAAAGTGCACGTCAAGGATAAAAAGAAGAAGAGCATACAGGAGGAGCTCCAGAGCATGTGCTGGAAGCAACACGACGTCAAGTACCTGGGCCAAAAGGCCTTCATCAGCTACGCGCGCTCAGTGCACCTGCAGAAGGACAAGGAGATTTTCAAGTTCAAGGAGTTGGACCTGGAAGGGTTCGCCAAGAGCATTGGCCTCGCTGGCGCGCCGCAGATCAAATTCCAAAAGGGCGAGGACGTCAAGAGGTTAAAGAATGCAGCCCGGGCGGGCATGTCGAGCGGCTCCGAGTCGGACGAGGACGGCGAGGGGCTCCAAGGCGGCACGAAAAAGAAAAAGAAGGACGAGGTCAGGACAAAGGCACAAAAGATGTTTGAGAGACAAAACCAGGACGTGTTGTCCAAGCACTACAGGGACCTGGTGGATACTGGAGGCAACGACGACGAAGACGGTGACTTTCTCAAGGCCAAGCGAGTTCTCCGCGGCGACGAGCTGGACGAGGCAGCAGGCGAGGGTGGCGGCATTGTCGCACTGCCAGCCAAAGTGGTACAGCTGGGCAAGAACACCCAGCTGGTACTTGACTCGAAGCGGCGCGAGAAGCTTCTCAAGTCCAAGAAACAACTGGCCAAGTTCAAGGACAAGGGCACAAAACTGGTATTTGACGACGAAGGAAACGCACAGCCGGTCTACCAGCTGCAGGACGAGGACGATTTCAAGCAACAGGGCCCTGTGGACAAACTCCGAGAAGAGTTTGTCAGTGCCGAAGCGGACAAAGTGCGCGAGGCCGACCTGGACGACAAGGCGCTAGCCAAGCAAAAGCGGCGCGAGAAGCGCCTCAAACAGAAGGCGAGGGAGCGGGGCGAGGCTGGGGAGTCAGGCCCGCGGGTGGCGGCGGACTCGGGGGACGAAGGGGAGGACCCGCTCGAGCTGCTCAGGTCATTGCCCATGGCAGGAGAAGCAGGTGCCGAGGACGGCGGCTCTGGCTACGGCTCGGACAACGCGCCGCCGAAAAAGAAGGCCAAAAAGTGGTTCCAGAAAGATTCAGACGACGAGGGGGGCAAGCCCAAAAGGGGCAAGGGCAAAGTTATCGAGATGGACCACGAGCCCGACACTCTGGAGGACTACGAGGCGCTGGCTGCAGGGCTACTGGCCGACTAGTGGGAAGCCGCCGTCGCTTTGTTTTCTGTCTGTTGTCGTCTTTGTGTGGGCTTTTCTTTGCATGTCTCAACATACCCCCCTGGTTTTCCCAATGCCAATGTAATGCGTGCACTAGTGGGACGGCTCTCTCTGATGTGACGTGGCCGCGAGTCTCATGCGATGTGACGTCGTATTGCTTGCTGGAGAAAAAGAAAAGACGGACGCATGTCGCGGCGTTTCGAGCCGCTCAGCAGACGGCGACGGGACGCATGTACGCCATGGCCGAGTAGCGCTCGTTGGTATTCTCCTAGCGGAGGTGCGGTGCGGGTGCAGGCGTAAAAATCGATGCCGCGGCCCGCAATTCGGACCAGGTCTCCGCCTGTGACACCGCCCCTCCCTTCCCCAGTGCGCCCCCCTCCTCGGCATCCCCCTACCCCACTCACCGAGTAATGTGTCAGCCGTCGGCGCCGACGACAAATCCACTGCTGTCATGCCCGCCTCCTCCCTCGTTGTTGGGAGAATCCAGCCTGACCTGCCCGGCCCAAAACGAAAGCTGCGTCTGCGCTTCTTCTCTGGTCTCATGAATTAACGACGCGCCACAGCTGTCTCGAAAACACCACCACCCCCGCGGGGCCCGTAGAGCAAGAAAGATGGCTACCGACCCTCCTCCCCAGCCGGGCCAGCCGCCGCTGGCCAACGGAGTCGCGGGGAAGAAGGCGGCTGCCGCCAACGAGAGCGGCGCCACGAAGCCGACAGGCGCGCTGACGCGAAACGGCGACGCCGGCGCCGACGCCGACGCCGACGCCGACGCCGACCCGGGCTCCCTGCGCCGCGTCTGCCTCGACGCCCAGCGCAAGGTGGCCGCCTTCCTGGCCGAGGACCCCGCGACGGAGCAGCTGCGCGCCCTGCAGGGCCAGGTGCACACGTCACTCGGCGTCATCGACAAGGCGCTCGAGGACTACCGGTATGCGTGCGCCATGGGGGGAACGGACGATACTGGCCTGATTCTTGGTGGACCTTGGGTTTTGCTGACAACCCCGTTGGACGACGCAGGCCAGAAGAGCTCTCCATCTCGTACAACGGCGGCAAGGACTGCCTCGTTATGCTGATCCTCATCCTCGCGTGCCTGCCACGCCACTTTGCTGCGCCCGAGCAGGCTGCCGCCACCCCGTGTGCGCCGCGGAGCCCCTCGGCTGACGACTCGGCAACGCCGCCGGCACAGTCAGCAACGTCGACGTCCACACCACCCCGACAACAACAACAACCGCCACCACAACCACCACAACAAAAACAGCCGCCAGCCAACAGCAACAGCAACGGCAACGGCACCGCCGACGCCCTGCCGCCCTTCCCCGACACGCTCCAGGCCGTCTACGTGGTGTCGCGGCACCCCTTCGCCGAGGTGGACGAGTTCGTGGGTCGCACGGGCGCCCAGTACCGACTCTCGGTCGAGCGCGTGGCCCAGTCGATGCGGCCCGCCCTGCACGCCTACCTGGCCTCGCGGCCCGCCGTCCGCGCCGTCTTCGTCGGCACCCGCCGCACCGACCCGCACGGCCAGGACCTCACCCACTTCGACCCCACCGACCCCGGGTGGCCGCCCTTTGTGCGCGTCCACCCCGTCATCGACTGGCACTATGCCGAGATTTGGGCTGTGAGTCTGGGGGCTGGGTCCCTTGTTTTTTGTCTTGCTTCTTTTTTGGTGTGCTGACAAGTAGGGGCCGACCTTTTTTTACGCCCCCGACACAGTTCATCCGCCACCTCGGCATCCCCTACTGCGTGCTGTACGATAGGGGCTACACCTCGCTCGGTGGCACGACCGACACCACCCCCAACCCTGCGCTCAAGCGCGCCGGCGCCGGCGCCTCGGAGACATTCAGGCCCGCCTACGAGCTGATGGCGGACAACGAAGAACGCCTCGGCCGCGACAGGTGACCTTGCCCGGCCATCTGTGTCGTGCCCTTTGTTTGCCCCTGTTTCTCCTGGGCTTTTGTGCTTGTCCCAGGAAAGAGCAAGAGCCGCTCTTTCTGTTTGGCAGAGCCATGAAAAGACTATTACATACGCAGGGTTGGCCCAGCTTGTGTCAGGTTACATACCACGCATCTCGTTCGCTTTTCATGAAGATAATTCTGGCTCTAGAATTGCGTCATTTTTATAGACTAGCACAATAAACAACAAAAGAGTTGCAGGTACGGTGCACTTTCGCCTTTCCTGAGCTATGAAAATCCATGTTTTTACCGCCGAGAGGCCTGGTCCACCCTCTTGGTTGTTGGTCTATTTTTTGTGGCCGGATTCCACGTGCGCCGCCAGCCTGGCCGTTTTCTCATAGCATCGACAAGGGCATCATCTGAATACATAAATAAAGTTCGAAGAAGCGAAAAAGGCATCCAAATAATAAAGAAGATCAATGAAGCGCGGGCTAATCGAAATGTGCGTCTTCTCATAGGGTATCTGTCTTCTCATTGCAACTGCTGAACGCCGTGCCGGGATGCAATGTTGCCAAGCACAAGGGGAGGGGGTGATGGAGGAAGGGGAACAAGACAAGGGAGAAGAAAAAGAAAGAAGGGAAACCCAACGTATGCGGAAATAGCTGCAAAAAACATCGATAACGATCATAAATCCTAAAAGGAGAAGGAAAAAAATGCGATCCGATAACACCACCTTCCGGGAAATCTAATAGTCATGAGCTCATTCATTATCGAGACAGTCTGAATCTTCGTCGCCGAGTACCAAGCAGGGCAAGATTTCATCTTCACGCCTGCCGGGACACTCGCATCGAGCACGTCCCTGCTACTCCGCGGGCGGACGCTCTCCAAACAGCTTGACCCTGTAGAAGCACGTGTGGTCCCGGGCGCCGTAGTTGCTGGTGGCCCGGATGAGCACGCGTTCGGTGACGACGCCAAACTGGGCGAGCTGCGACGGGAACTTGACGGCCTTCTCGGCGGGCCTGCCAGCCGTTTGGTTCTTGAACTCGAACTCGACCACCTTGACGAAGCCTTCGTCCCACAGCTTGTTGTCGAGGTCCGTGTGTGGGAACGTCGCTATCGACCACTCCCTCATGTGCTTGCCCTGGTTGTGATCCTCCACCTCGATCCAGACCTCGACGTCCCGGGGCATGGACCCGTCATCCACCGTCTCGAGCGGGTTAATGTGCTCCATCCAGAGAACCTGCGGCGTGATCGGCTGGATGCCCAAGTATATGTCTGCCGGTTTGGGACGCGACAGCTTGCTATCCCACGTACCGCCAGCGCACCAGCAGTCGCCGTCGTCCTCCCACGCGTGCATGATGGCCGAAGGGCCGTTGGCGAGCCATGGCTTCGCGGAAATCCACTGGGGGGTCCCGAAGCGCGGGTACTTGAACTTGAAGGTCGGGCTGCTGATCTTGGACTCGAAGACGGCGCCCGACCGCACATTAAAGTAGTTGACCCGACTCTTGAGGTCGGCGATCAGCGGATCGCGCATCCGCTTTTCGAGCTGGGGATCTCCGATGACCTTCAGCACCTCCTGACTCACGCGCCGCACCTCGTCGGGCGTGAGAGCTCCCTTGGATGATTTGGAGACCCGATCGAGCTTCTTGGAGAGCTCATCTTGGCTGCGCTTGAGGGCTGCGATGTCGACCTGGACGCTTCGCATGTTGGCCTTGAACTCGTCCTTGACAAGGTTTACAAATTCCTTCTTCATGACAACCAGCTTCTGCGGAAGATCCTGGGCCTCGATCCTCTTGCGAATGAGCTCTTCCACGTCGATGCTTGGTGTCTCCTGGCCCTGCCCGGCCCCGAGCATGTCTCGGAGCATGTGGTTGTTTTGGCGAACCCATGTCTCGAATGCGCGGGCCCCGTCAAGACCCTTCTCAATAGCCTTCGAGTGCGGATCCGTGATGGCCTTTTTCTCATCCAGGACGACAAAATCGCCATCCTGTCGCGCATAAGCCTTGAGGACCTGCCAGATATCGTCCGGAATGATGGGATTGCCCTGCTGGTCTCTGTCGACGCGGATGTAGTTGGGCAGCGCATGCTCAAGCTTGGAAATGGCCGCCGTCGTCGCCTCGTTCTGCCGTTTGACGCGCGCAATAACCTGTTCTTGGCTTTCCCACGCCTCCTTGAGCTTTCCGTAGTCATCGTCGCTGAGGAGGATACGGCGAAAGGACCACGAGGGCACGAACTGCCCGAGGTTATGCTTCCAGTCCGAGGTGCCATACCAGTGGAAGCCACTGTCCAGCTCGTGGCCCTCGAACATTGGTGGCCCGCTGAGCCAACTGACTATCCACGACATTGTAACAAGTGCCAACGCAAAGTACAGCAGTGTTTTGGCCAATGTCTTCCAGTCAAAGCTCTTGTGGAAATGGCGAGCGAGCCCTTCCATGTTCTCGGACCAGGTGGAACCGGGTCCAACGCGCGGGCTGTCGGATGATTGCGTGTTGGCTGCTCCATTGGTGGTAGTATAGATGTTGTCGGATCGTCCCAAAGGCTTCTTGGGTTGATGGCCCTCGGTCGAAGTTGTGCTCTGTTCCTTGCCAACCTGCACACGACCGTTCCGGGCGGCGGCTGCAGCTTTAGCCTCGGTGACAGTAGTGCTCACACCATGGAGCTCCGAGATTTCGGGCGATCTTGTCTCGCGGTGCGCATGCGACTGGACCTCTGGCTCTGGCTCAGCAAACGCTGAACGGGTTGGCCTGGTCGCATGGTTGATCTTCGTCCTCGTAGCTAGTTCGGGCTCCTCGGTCCTCGCCCGCTCCCTTCTCTGTCCGTTGACCAGTCCATTCTTGATAGGAGAGCCGAGTCCCTTGCGAATGGGTTTTCGGGGTGTGGCCGCGTCGTCGCTGTGGTCGTTCTCGATACGAAGCTGCCGCTGCTCCCTGGCCTTGGCGTTGTCGACCAGGTCATGGTCAAGGTGAGTCGCGATGTAGCGGGAGGATCCTGGCTCGGCTGAGGACGACCGTACTCCTCGGTGAGGCGGGTCTGCGAACCAACTGTACGTCTGACCGCGTGTAGCCGGTGGCTGTTGTCGCTCGCCTTGCGTCCAGGCCGGGGCGCCTGGGGGAAGGTGGCTCCGAGGAGGAAGCTCCTGTGCTACCGAGGATGGCGGGAGCGACGACTCGGGGACAGTGGATGGAGTAGGAGCGATCGAGATTTGCGCCGGAGGCGGTGTCTGCAATGTTGCGCGCTGGAACAGGCCACTCTCAAGGTTGAAGCTTCGCTCAGTAGGCGCCGCGGACGACTGAACGGGCGGGCCCATAGCCTTGAGTTTGCCGCCTGCCCCGTTGGCAGGCGTTTGCGGGATGTCCGAGCTCCTCAGTTCGTGAAGCCGATGTCCGTTGGCACGCGTGATTGGCAGGTCGTTCCAGTAGATCTTGTCGCCAGACGGGGGAGGCATGTCAGTCGATGAGTGCGCTGCGGTGAGCATCATAGACCCGCCCATTCGTGACAAGTTGGGATAGAGTGCGTCGCGCTGGGTCGCCGCACTGACAGGCTGCTTGGTTATAGGCCCTGCCGTCGACTGAGTGGGTGCACTGGGAGCGCTGATGGCTTGTTTGGCCGTGCCCGGTCCAACGGCTTGATCCACGGGTTGGTTTTCCTGGTCTTCCAACAGCATGTCGACGTCGTCCTCGGGAGGCTCCGATGATCCGCTCCTTGGCGCGTCCAGCGATACTTCTCGTAACACGTCGCGTTGGACCAATGAGCGGGGCGGGCGGCCCCGGGGACGACCAGGCTTGCGGCGGGGTGAAGGATTCTTCAGTTTGCTTTGGGCAGTCGTGCGTTCTGGGCTGCGTCGTGGCGATGCAGCGCCAGACTCGGAGATCCTTTGGCGCTTAGAATTCTCTGGCTCAGAGGCATCCTCCAACTCCGGCGACTTCCTCTTTGCGGGTGACTTCCTCCTTGCGGGCGTCTCCGCCTCGGCAATCGGTCGCATGGGAGAATACCGCGACCTATCCCGTCCATCCTCGGGAGGCGCTGTCGCAAGGCGGTTTCGGGAGTTTGCAGTCTCTTCCAGATTCCGTCGAGGCACCATGACGGACGGGGCTCGCGAGGCGCGGGCTTCCTGATCCTCCTTGTTGTCGCGCTGCACCCTGTTGATGGCTCTTGCGATACCCGACTGGAGGTCCGTGTCCTGGACGATGAAGGCGGGGGCGGTCTCGGGCGAGCCGGCCGCGAAGGCGGGCGAGCCGTAATTGGTGCTGTGCCTCTGCGGGCGCGGCGTCAGGCCCGAGTTCATGTTGGCGGCGGCGCGCACCCGTGCAGATGCGCGCGTGGGCGCCGGCGAGTCGTTGACCTCGATTTCATCCTCGGCCATGGAGGCGCGCGAGTCTCCCCTGTGGTTGGTTCGCCGCCGCTCACCCAGAGTGGGCGGCTTGGGAGTTGCCTTTGGAGGCATGATGGAGCCACCCTGCTAGGCGCTGAGGGCGTGATCGGAGCTGACCAGAGCTCAAAAGGTCCGACGAGTGAACTTTTTTGGATAATTAGCATACGCCCGCGCTGTGATGATAATGAACGAATTGGTCTGAGGCGTAGCGCGGTTGCCCGTGGTTTCCGTGGAGCGCAACTCAGGTCCCCCCTGCAACAGCACAAAGTGGGCAGAAACTGAGAGCAATCTCACAAACACCTGCGTAACCAGGCGCGCGCAAGCGGGATGTGAAAAAAGAAAACACACGCGCGCAGGCGGATAAACAAGAGAAATGCACTCTAGCAATGCGCCGACCCGTTGCCTAGTGACATGAACGAGGGGACAGAAGGGCTTCCCGGCCCGCCTGCAGGAGGGCCGACGACGGTGGTTTTGCTCGAGCGGTGACAGCGCACACAAGTGGAACTTACCTCGAACAGCTCGACGTAGGATCCCTGCAGCCAAGGGTCGGATGGGAGCGATTTCAAGTGTGGGTCGCGGCACTGTAAAGTGGCTGGCAGGTCGGCGCGTCACCTTGGGCGCGCGCGTGGCTGGGCCGGAATAACCCAGAGATGGGCCGTCTGGGAAAGCGAATGGGTGTGGCGAAGCTGTCGTGGGCAGAGGGGGGAGGAGAGAGCAAGTTGGGAAGGCGAGGGCGGGCGGGAGAGCGGATCGCCAGTCGTTTTGAGAGAGCCAATGTGCGGGAAGTGCATGGCAAGCGCTGCGTGGGCGTGATGGCTGGGAATTGAATATTTTTGGGCTCAGGCCGGGCCCGTTGGCCGTCGACCTGGCACTCCCGCAAACGGCAGGGGCAAACGGCAGGGCCTGATAGCAGAGGCTGAAAGCGGTCGGGGCCCAAGCCGGCGGCTGTTCCTGGGCAAGCGATTTGTTTGGCAAGGTACTTTGGTTGGCGCGGGTGCGTGGCTCCTTTGTCTCCTTTTTTGCCTTGTCTTGGATGCTTCCGTCGTCCGGGCCTGGCAATTTTCCCCAGCGAATCGCGCGTCGGCGCGTGTCTAGCTCCAGGGCTCCAGCGGGCGCCTCGCTTTCCACTCCCGTCTCTAGCCTATCTTTGTTGTCGGGAGGCTGGGGTGGGTGGGTCCCGGCCTGCCAGTCGCAGGGGTCAGTTGGGGAGTTGGCGCGCGCGCACGTGATTTGGGCGGGGCATTGGGTGTCTTCTGGTAGGGCCTGGACAAGGAGCGGGGGCATCGCCGGGAAACGTGGCGGCGATGCCGTCAGAAGGGCGGTCGGGTCAGGTCGAAACCGTGGTTGACTGGCGTTGGGTGTGCACTGGTATGCTCCAGCAACGCCCTGAATTGTTCGTCAGCCTGACAGTGGCGAGTTGTGCTGGCTGCCGGGGTGCAAGTAATGTACCAATGCAGCTGGCCTGAGCCCTATCTCATCATAAATGATGCACATCTGTGCAATGTCCATGCTGCTCGGCAATGCCGATGCCATGTCCGCATCCCGCTCCCGGCCTAACGTCCACGTTCGCCACAACAGGCCAGGAAGCCCTGTTTCCGCCCAACCGGATGCAGGTGTCCCTCAATTACTGTCCATGCCCGCTGTCTCTCCTTGTCAACCGACACGGGAGCTTCGGTGCGTCTCTGCAAGGGTCTCAATGAAGCGTGGACACTGGCGTCATGTATGCAGGAGCTTTACTTCAAAGTGTATGCATGGGAGAAGCAGGCAGATTCAACCGTCAGATTGATGACCAACTATAATGGAATTGCATTCCAGTCAAGCTTTATGCCTTCTTCCAGTCAAGCCTCGGCCGGTACACGGAAGCCATCCATCACGGCGGCTTGAGGCTCGTCAGATTGACTCCCGTCCTAAGCTTGTTGCAATAAGTAGAGTTTTTTTTTGGGTAAGCCTCGGCCCGCAGTGCTCAAAATGGATGGATCCGTGGTGTGATGGACCCAATGGACCCTTCACCAGACAGAGAGACACTTTCCAGGATTTGAGGAGTACAACTCTCGCCAGGCCCCAACCAGTCACCTTGATCAACACCCAAATACTCGCGCGCACACCCCTTTGTAAGGATGACGGTTGGCACGGTATTGATCACCGGGTGAGTGCGACCGCGTCTTCTTGCTTTGTCCTGCTTGTGCAGCTGTCTGTGCTGGCCAGGAGGAACCCCCACCAAACAAGCGCGAAACCAGGCACAAGCGCGGGCTGGGGTTCCAGCGCATGCCATGAGGGGCCAAGGGCCGCGACAATCTAATGCGGGGGAGCAGCAGCGGCCAGCACACAAATCGCCAAGCGCATTCCAGAGTCGGCGCAATCAATTGACTGACATCAACCATACCTGGCTGACAGCGGCACGGGCTACATCGGCTCGTTCACGTCGCTCGCCCTGCTAGAGAACGGCTACGATGTCGTCATTGTAGACAACCTCTACAACTCGTCTGCCGTCGCCGTCGACCGGATCGAGCTCATCTGCGGCAGGCGGCCCATTTTTCACAAGGTCGACGTCACCGACGAGGTTGCGCTAGATCGCGTCTTTGCCGCCCACCCCGAAATCGACAGCATCATTCACTTTGCCGCTCTCAAGGTATGAGATGTTGTTGTCGATACCGTGCCCTCTGTCGCAATGCACACCTGGGCTAGCAACCTAGACCAACTTGTCGTTGATATTACCTTTTCAAACGCCAGGCCGTCGGCGAGTCGGGAGAGATCCCGCTCGAGTATTACCGCGTCAATGTCGGTGGCAGCATCTCCCTGCTGCGCTCCATGGAGAAGCATGGTGTGAAGAACATCGTCTTCTCGTCGTCCGCCACCGTCTATGGCGATGCGACGCGCGTGCCCAACATGATCCCGATCCCAGAGCACTGCCCGATAGGCCCGACCAACACATACGGCCGCACCAAGTCGATGATCGAGAGCGTCATCTCGGACCACGTCAATGCGCAGCGCAACAACCTCATGAAGGCTGGAAAGCCGCACGAGGAGTGGAACGGCGCCCTGCTGCGCTACTTCAACCCTTGTGGTGCCCACCCCTCAGGCATCATGGGAGAGGACCCTCAGGGTGTGCCCTTCAACCTCCTGCCGCTGCTCGGCAAGGTCGCGACGGGTGATAGGGAGAATATCAAGGTGTTTGGCGATGGTAAGTTTCTACACGCGTATTCGCCTAGGTGTTGCTAGCTTGGAGACGCATCGCTGATCATTCTCCCTTGTGCGCTGGCAGACTACAGCTCAAGAGACGGCACTGCTATCCGCGATTACATACATGTTCTCGATCTTGCCAAGGGTCACCTGGCAGCGCTCAAATACCTGCGCGACCAGAAACCTGGCGTGCGCGAGTGGAACCTGGGGTCTGGGCGCGGCAGTACCGTGTTCGAGATCATCAAGGCCTTCAGCTCTGCGGTCGGTCGGGACCTCCCCTACGAGGTTGTCCCCCGGCGGCAGGGCGACGTGCTGGACCTCACCGCGAACCCGGCGCTGGCGAACAAGGAGCTTGACTGGAAGACAGAGCTCCGCATGGAGGACGCCTGTGAGGATCTGTGGAAATGGGTCAAGAACAACCCCAAGGGGTACAGGCAGGATCCTCCAGCCGAGTTCCTTGAAGAGGTCAAGAAAAACCGCAAGCTGTGAGATCGTTATATGTGCGCGAGGCCTTCTTTCAGTTCGTGGTTTCGATACAATACATCCGGCTTTTGAGCAAGGAGGATCATAGATCTTTACAAGGTGTACACCCAATAATAATTTGGCCATGGTAACTTGGACACCCACCGAGAACTTGGGTCTCCTTCAACCATTCAAACGGGACAATGCTCAATTGCATTCTGCAGCGGGGCCTACGCCTTATCAGCTTGGCTCTATTTGGTAATGTCGCGACAATTCCCGTCGGCGAACACTGCCGCCGTCGGAGAGTACAAGGAATCCTTTGGGCGGCGGAGTTGGGACACTAGCATAGGCAATGTCAAGTCTATCGTACGAGGGGCTCGATTCCATGTTCGATCTGCCCCCACCTTCCATCCGGCCCTGCATCCGGAATCGGCGCGGGACAGTGGCAAGTTGAGCTGGACACCCTTGTTCCGCTCATTCGAACCGAGGCCACCAACTGCCTACCTACACGGGTACCTACCTACCTATATACATGTCATACTTCGTAGCATCGGAGAGTGTGTTGTAGGAGACAACGGATGCAACTTCAGGACGATATAGCCCAATTCGATTTCCGCCATGCCAAGGATTGTCGTGATCGGGTTTGTCAAAAGAAACCGGCCACCTTTCAAGTCTACAGATTGCGACTAACCAGCCAAAACATGCACATTGTAGAGCCGGGGTGTCGGGACTCACCTCAGCACTTCTACTGTCGGAAAATAAAAACAATGCCGTCACAGTGGTTGCCAAACATATGCCTGGCGACTACGACATTGAGTATACTTCGCCATGGGCTGGAGCAAATGTCTTGCCGTAAGAAGCCACAGCATCTCGGGCATGGCGCTACATGCCCGACCCTAGACGAACTCAAGCTAACCTTTGATACCATGGTCAAGGATGTCACAAAAATCAGACAGTCAGTGGGAGAGACGCACCTGGCCCGTGTTAAGGCGGCTGGCAGCCGAGGTTCCTGAGGCTGGGATACATTTCCAGAGTAGGTGAAGCCGTGGCCGTATCTGGCTTTTGGCCACCTGCCAGTCCCGTGGGGATGATCAGGAGTCAGTACGAAGGCTGCACCTCGCGTGAAGCCTACCGGGCAAGCTGACCGTGGCGATCCTTGCAGAAACCCACATCTTTCAGCGGCCCACGACGGCAGGGGCCGATGACGAGGGCGGAGGGCTGGATCCGCTGTTCGACAAGGACCCGTGGTACAAGGAGCTCATGCCCGACTTCCGCCCGCTGGCGGCGTCCGAGCTGCGGCCGGGCATGGCGTCGGGCAACGAGTTCACGTCGGTGTGCATCAACACGGCGCTCTACCTGCCCTGGCTGGTGGGCCAGTGCCGCGCACGCGGCGTCGTCTTCCGCCGCGCCGTCCTCGCCCACGTGTCCGAGGCCGCGTCACTCGCCGGAGGCGGAGGCGGCTCCCCCGCGGACCTGGTGGTCAACGCGACGGGCGTGCTTGCCTGCCGGCTCGGCGGCGTCATGGACGCCAAGGTGTGCCCAGCGCGGGGGCAGGTGGTCGTGGTGCGCAACAGTCTCCCCGTCATGATCGGAGTGCAGTGCGGCCGCGGCCCCGCAGATAGGCCCGACGAGCTCATCTACAGCATGGAGCGCGCGGCCGGCGGCGGCACGGTCCTGGGCGGCAGCTATGAGAAGGGCAACTGGGACCCCAACCCGGACCCGAACCTGGCGCTGCGCATCATGACGCGTGTCGTCGAGCTGTACCCCGAGATCGCAGGCGGCAAGGGCGTCGCGGGCCTGGACGTGATCCGGCACGGCGTCGGTCTGAGGCCGTACAGGGAGGGAGGGGTTCGGGTCGAGACCGAGGTGTTGGACGGCATGGACTGCCCTGTCATTCACAACTACGGCCACGCGGGCTGGGGCTATCAGGGGTCCTACGGGTGTGCTGAGCGGGTCGTGGAGCTTGCGGATGAGGTTTTTGCGCGTGGCGCTGGTCTCAAAGCGAAGCTGTGAGGGGATGGTGTTGCGATCAATGAATATCACTTAGGACAGAGTGAATGGTGGCAAGGCATGATTCCAGCGATAAAGGGGAGAAGATGGGGAGGGAATAAATGCACCGAGCTTAGACCCTAACCCTGTTACATGTGGTCGTGTCAGCCCAAACTCTCAGCCAAAAAGGTTCCTACCCTTCCACCTCGATTGAACCTCAATGCCTTCGTGGCAGCTCAACCTCTCCTCCACAACTGCCCTTGCGCCAATTTGATGCCTAGAGCGCCGCCATGGCCGAGGCCGCTACTTCAATACCGGGGCGCGCCGTCCGCTTCGCCCTCGACGTCGCGAACGGCCGCCATGCGCTCTCCAAGCTCGTCGGTCCCGCGCTGCTTGCCCTGGACGGCTTGCTCTGTGCCCTGATAATTCTCAAGATCCCCTGTGAGTAGCCGGTCTAGCTGGACGTTTGCGACCGTGTACAAATCTACTTTTGCACTCACTGCTAATACACCAGGACCACCTGTTTGCAGATACCGAAATTGACTGGGAGGCGTACATGCAACAGATCTCGCAGTACGTCTCGGGCGAGCGCGACTACACCAAGATCAAGGGCGGCACCGGCCCCCTCGTGTACCCGGCAGGCCACGTCTACATCTACACGGCGCTGTACTACCTGACGAATGAGGGCAGGAACATCTTGCTGGCGCAGCAGCTGTTCGCTGGCCTATACCTGGTGACCCTCGCCGTCGTCATGGCGTGCTATCACAGAGCAAGGGTACGCATGCAACGAGCTTGTCGACATCCCACCCAACGCTCTACGGATCTTCGGCCAGGGGCTAACTGAAACACCGCAGGCGCCGCCGTACATTCTTCCGCTCCTGGTCCTCTCGAAACGCCTCCATAGCGTCTACGTCCTCCGTTGCTTCAACGACTGCTTTGCCGTGCTCTTTTTCTGGGTGGCCATATACTGCTTCCAGCGGCGCGCGTGGACGCTTGGCGCGCTGGTATACAGTTGGGGCATCGGCGTCAAGATGACGCTGCTCCTCTCGCTCCCCGTCGTGGGCCTAGTGCTCCTCCTTGGCCGGGGGTTTGTGGGTGCCATCCGGGTCGCGTCCATGATGGGCCAGCTACAGGTCGCCATCGGCCTCCCGTTCCTATCCCACAACGCACGGGGCTACCTGGGCAGGGCGTTCGAGCTATCGCGCCAGTTCTTCTTCAAGTGGACGGTGAATTGGCGCTTCGTGGGCGAGGACGTCTTCCTCAGCAAACCCTTCTCCCTCACGCTCCTGGTCCTGCACGCATCGGTCCTTGCCGCATTCGTTGCCGCGCGGTGGCTGAAGCCGACGGGCAAGTCCCTGGGTCAGATCGCGGGCACCATACTCTCCGGGCGCCTCCCCTTCAACGAGCAGCACGAGCTTGCTGTGTCGGGCGCGGTCACCCCGCGCTATGTACTGACGTCCATGCTGACGGCCACCGTCGCTGGCCTTCTCTTCGCGCGGTCGCTGCACTACCAGTTCTATGCGTACCTCGCCTGGTCCACCCCCTATCTCCTCTACCGGGCCGGTCTCCACCCGGTCCTGCAGTATGGGCTCTGGGCCCTGCAGGAATGGGCGTGGAACGTGTATCCAAGCACGCCGGCCAGCTCTGCAGTCGTTGTCGGCGTCATGGCGGTCACGGTCGCCTCGGTATTCGTCGGCGCGAGGTCTGAGTTCAGGCCTGCGCCGAAAGTGGCAGCAGCCAAATGAAAAGGTCGCTTGGGAATATGAAGTGGAAATCTCCGAGGGGCCCGCGATCTATTGCTCAGTCTTCTTCCGAATCTGATGGGGGCATCTTGCCGACATTCGAGTCCTCTTCATCGTTGATCTCCTCCTTGTGCTTGGGGAACTGGGTTGGCCTGTGGACGAGAATTGGCGGTTAGCAAAAACTAGACGAGTCGCGGCGGAAACAAAAAGAAGAAAAAAAGAAATGAGACCATTTGCCCTACCAGTATGGCCGTTTCCTCCACTCGCGCTCGTCCCGCACCACGTTCACAATCTCGCCGTCCACCCTGCTGCCCTTGCGGTCCTCGTCGGCCGCCATCTCGACCAGCACGTAGCCGCCCCGCCTGATCCAGATGGTGTTGCGGAACCGGGCGGCGAGCTCGGCCAGGGCCGGCTTCCCGTCCGGGAGCGTGCACGAGTACAGGCTGTTGCCCTCGGCCTTGACGACGCGCGCCAGCGACTGGTTGCCCGCGAGCGCGTCGGGCGGCGTCGTGGTCTCCTCGGCCGCCGCCTGGACGTTGCGTTTTGAGCGTGCCATTTTTTTATTTTTTTTGACTCACTCTCTTTCTTGGATCGCTGCGTCACGAGATTTGCGCGAGTTGTGAGTCGGGGTCGTGTTTTGCGGAGGGATGGATGCTCTTCGGCAATTTATTTTCATAAAGAACTTTCTTGCCTCTTCCCGCCCGGAGCCGCAGCCTGTGGGTGGGGGGAGCCCGCAGATGGCTGCATCCGATGCAGCCCCGCGCAACCACTTCTAGGGTCCATCCTTCGTGCCGGTTGAGACGATAAACTTATATCCAGGGTCCCCCATTAGGAACCTACTAGGATCACACTTTTATCTATAAATCCGGGGATGCCCTTCCACACTTAATCTTCTTGTACAGAGAGTATCACTTCAAACCCTTGGGATACAAGTGACCTATCCCAATCCCCAAATCTCGGCTTCAACTGGCAGGGCGCCCGCGATGCGGCGAACCCAAAATTTATGCATATATGGGATTTCGAGGGGCATGTTTGAAACGATCCAGTGGCACACGTTGATGAACCGGCTCGAGTCCGGGAGGCTTATGTTCACGCGTGGTCTGTCAGCGACTCACACGCACCGCGGGCGTCTCCTGACCAAGGCGCCACGTGGGGGACCCCCTCGGTCACTTCCTGCCCGAGGCGGGGCGCGAAACTGCGGGCAGTGTTCCGCGATACAGGCCCGGTGACTCCGAAGCTTAGATAGCGAAATCAACAGAGAAAAACCCATGCACGTGGTCGTTATGTTGAGTTCTGCCCGGAGTCCGCGATTGTTACTCTAACTTTGGACTGTCTGAAAACACTTTTGTAGCCGCTCAACGCCTTTTATCCAACCTACTCGTGCTACCGCTACGATCTTGATATCGCACGAGAGGCTGCAGTCGTATCGTGTACGCACATGCCTTCGCGTCCCACAATGTGTTGAAGCCAAAGCTGTCTACACCC